CCCCGCCACTGGATGAAAGTTATTATTATTTTATTATTATTTATTATTAAACGGGAGTGCGGTACATTGGCGACGTGTCGATCGTCTCGTTGCGTATTCTCGTCATATTACGTACGAATACGAGGTAACAACTCGGCTGCAGCAGTTGTGTTGTCCGTTTCGAAATCCGGACGAAATTTCACAAATCTCCAGTCCGCGCGGTTCGCTTACCGTCGTCGACGACGATCACGATAATTATTACCGTTACGCGGGCCCCCCCCCCCCCNCCCCCCCCGCTGCAGGAACGCGTTTCCGATTCATTATTGTTAATTTCCCCCCTCCCCCCACCCCCCGAACGAACGTTTCCCGAAACCGCCGTAATTTTTCGGTTTATCGTCACGTACGCGATGTGATAACAATTATGTTATCGCATTACACTGTCCGATAACGAGCGCGGACCGCAGTCTCCTGTGATACTTGACGAACGCGGGTGCCCGCGGATCATTATCGGCGCTAAACCTAATGATCGCAATCGTCTTGTGTTAAATTCGCCGTAGTTCTCGCCCGTTCGACCTCTGGGGGATATTGCGACTGAACCCGCGAAAACGTGATGTAATTCCGGAAAACGTTTCGACAACCGTAATCTATACGCGCGGCGTCGTTTTTCGACGATGTTTCCCGCAGCGTGCAGTGCTCACGATCTGTAAGCGAACGCGCACGACTCGAGGAAAATCGATCGGATTTCCTAACGGTTTTTCCGAAAAAAAACAAAAAAAAAACAACTCGTTACAGTATTTTGAAAACGTTGTTTTTTCGGTCGCAATAATTCAAAAGACGCGGAATCGCTGCCCCGCAGACGTACGTTATTTTGAACCTAATCTCCACGGTTCGTCTTACGGGCACACGACCCGCGGTCGTTTTTTAAATTCAGAAAATCGAAAACCTCATATAGAATCGATCGTTTTCATTGTAAAAAAAAAAAAAATCAACTAATTTTCAAATTAACTCGATAGTTAATCGATAAAACAATTGGTTATACATAATTAACACGTTAGTTAATTATCGTTTAATTTTTTTCGCAATCACCTTTGTCGGGTTAGCCTCGTCGACTCGAAAAACATTTTCGACACGGAAAACGTTGGAAATATTTTTGCCGGGCATTTCACCATTAAAACATGTTTCATCACAACAATAATATATGGGTACATATACCCGCACCCAGTCGATAATTATAATGGTTATTTTATACGAATAATAATATTATGCGTTTTCGTTATTTACATATATTATAGTGTTATTGCGAAATCGCGCGTGTAGGTAATTTTTTATACGGGGCGTGCAAAAATTGCGCCGTTATCGTTTTTCGCATTTTTCCAAGAGAAATCTGTACCGATTACGTAATAACGATATAATTTATCTCGCGCCCGATCGCGTATTTCCTACGCAAAACGAACCACAAACGCAAACGGAATCCTCGGAGTGACTCTATATGATTGCTCATCGCAAGTTTATTATTAGTATAATAAACATGCTATTTTGTTAAATGTTTTTCACTGTTGGTCCAAACCTCATATCGTTCTAATAAGGATTAGTGTAAACGTAAAACCTAGTCGATAAAATACCACGGCAAATATTCTCTAATCGTCGGATTCGAACCCAATGATAAATTGATTGCACGCAGAATTGCACGATATGGCGCCTACTTAATATATTCCAAACGAACAAAGGATAACGGTATATCTGGCCAATCAGAGAATTCCGTTTGCGTCTGTGGATCGTTTCGAATATGTGTAACGTTAACACGTCGATGTCGTTGTTATAGCGCATCGCCGAGTCCGAAAAACGATATAAAAAGCGGTTAAAAGCCGACTGTTCCGGGGGTATCGGCGTCACGTTGCGGAAGAATGTAGGTCGTTTCCCCCATTTTTTTTTTCTGATTACAAGCATAATTTCGAGCCTAGACTATACGGGTTGCAGTTTTGTGCATACTATATTTTTCTCGGTGTTATGAATATTGTTAATATCGCCCGCACGTAATAATACTGTGTCGATTATAACGCGGTCCGTAATACAATTTATAATCTGACCGATAAAAATAACGCGCGGAAAAACGAAATTCGTCCGACCGATGTTTACGGTTTTCGGTTTATGTTCGCCCACGAAAACGTTTCGTTGGCCTTTCTCCTACCCCCCCCCCGGGACCGTCTGCGGAATAAAAAGCGACCCGCAGCGACGGAGGAAGAGAAGGATTTATTACCGCCAAAAAAATAACATTATACTAACGTATGTAAGCCTATTGTCCCGTAATACATACGTCCGCGATGAGACGGCAATTTATTCTTTGCGTCGTCGTCGTCGCCGTTACGTCATCTTTATTTGTTGCGGTCGTCCGCGGAGAGCTACGATACAGGTCGGTTCCGATATTATCACGATCCGACGATTATACGGAGATTTTAATGTTTTTTTTTTTATACCGATATATCGTTTTGAACACGGCGTGACGTTGTTTCCGTATGTTTTCGATGTTTTTTCCTATCATATTCCGCACGACGCAATAAAGACGTAACGATTTTTGATTTTCGTACAGTTGATTTTCCCCGTCCACAACGGTTAAATCCAAACCGAAAATTCGATTATTTCCGAATAATGTCAACACAATAATGTCCATAACATTTGGTAAATTTCCAAGGATGTGTGCCATAGAAATAACTGTACATTTTTACACCCGGGGAAAAAATTATGAAAACGCGCCCGTTGAAGACTTTTTTTTCTTTTTGTAAACCATCGAAATACGGCGAGCGAGTCAGATACGTTGAACGCACGTTTGCAGTGTCAGAAAATACCTGCAAACAAGTTATTTCTTCTACTTCTCTTCCTTCGCAAAGGTCCCAACTATTTGGAATCGGCCACCCTCGTCCTTAATTTCCACTTCATCCAGGGGCGAATATAGAATTTTTTGTTTATTTTTTTTTTTTCTTTTGGAGGAAGACCCGACATTTTTCATATTCATTTTGAACAGTGAACAAAACTTATAAATATAAGATTAGATTACAATCAAGTATCAAAATTATCGAATATCGTGATAATTTATATCCATTATAAACTCATATTATTACAAGTATAATATAGTTTTAAGGGGGACCCGGACCTTCTCAGCTCTCCCCCCTTAAATTCACCATTGACTTCACCCTATCCTTCACATAGTCTTCACCAACGCCCGTCATCCTCATATCATTCTCAATCGCATCCAACCACCTTTTATCGGTCTTCCTCTCCCTCTTTATCCTCCCACGTTTATTTCCATTATAATTCCAAGGTATAAAGATTGTCGGGGTAACAATTTGAGGATTGTTAAAAAATAAAGCGTATAAAATCTTTATATTTTCGTGCTTTCAGCTCTATATTCCTTTCTATTACCAATAAATGGCAAATTTCTATCGCCTTGTCTGAAACATCGGTTGTAGTCATAAAGTTTTCTTTACTACATTTTAATCGTTCGTTGTGGAAGTTTAAAAAGTCGATGGACTGCGTTCTGTTCCTAACCACATTCACATTTTCCGTCGTTTTTTATTCCCCCTTTTACTGTATCACTTATTGTTCTTCCTGTCCTAGATCCTTTATTCAGTGTGTTCCATGTTGACTGCGATAGACCAACGGTAAGGTATCTTTTGGACCATTCAAGGAATAATAATAGTCTTAAAAAACCTAAATCATATTTTTATACGACATTTTCTGAGAAAAAAATTGCCGATACACGAATGAATAAAAACAAAATCGCCCTGTATATCGGAGTTTTAAGAAGATATTATTATTATTATTATTATTATTACGATTATTATGCCGTCTCGTCGTCGGCCTGTGATGCAGCTAATGTTTATTGCGTCTTTCTCTCCAACTCTCTCTACCGAATTTATATAATACAATATAATATAATATTATTCCGAGCACCTACGCATAAAATATTACAAGCATAATAATAATAACGACGTGTCGTACTTCGTACAACACCGAGCTGAGTGTAGGTATATACATTTTGCTATAACTTAACCAACAAAAAAAAAAAAAAAATTGATGTAAACAAAAATCCGGTCCGAATTCGTGAAACATTGTTCTCTGTTGCCAATAATAGCGATTGACCTATTGTTATTTTACCGGTGCGTAAAACCCTGGCGAATGTTAACTGCGACAAAATAATTCCTTTTTCTAAAAGTCGATTTGTAAACTGCGATAGAAAAAAAAACATGTTACGTATAACACACACTATAAAAGACTAATTACAATAATTTATTATAAAACAAGAATGCATGAATAATTTAATAAAAAAACGAATATTTTAGGGAGGTAATTTTTCGATTATCTCAGTATATTTCTCAGTAAATGAAAAAAAACAGAGAAGAAACGGGAAAATGTACGAAAGTTAGATATTAGTTAATTAATAGGAGAAAGCAAATAGATTACTGGAATGGTTCAATTGGTTTGCCTCTACCATCGGTTAGAACCTATAGGATAGCTTCTATAGGATAACCTCTACCTCGGATAAGTCTGTCAAAAGTGAGAAAATGAGACACTAGTTTCTGCTGTTCGTCAAATTTGAGCTACAAAAGGCGTCTAATTGTGAACAATTGACTTTTTGTCCCTTCCGTTCGAATGCTTCAGTAAGTATTTCCCAAATGTTTAATGGAGTCTCCTTACCTTTTACATATTCTAAAAGATTAAGCTTTTCTTTTTTTTAAGATTTTTATTTAGTATTTCCAGTTACTTAAGTTTTCTCCATTAATGAGAGGAACTTAATAATTATTTTCTTCTATGTTACTAAAGAATGGATCACTTACTGCCTGATAAAAAATAGTGCTACAAGTAGAATTCGTGGCATGCAATGCGTGGTGAATAATAATGAATAATAATGTTGTAGATATTTGTTGTAAACATTTTATCTTCGTGTGGGTAATAAATTGTGACTGGCCGAATGACTACACCGCGTAAGGTCCAAACGCGTACCAAGCCGAGGTAATACACCTCAACTACATGTCTGAGCCGCTCGAGCGGGGACACCGAGCTGACCTGGATCGTGACCACATCGCTGGGTTGAGTGTTGGGTGTCTACCCGTTCGGTCTACTACTGCAGGGTGTGTAGATATTGAGCCAACCAACGGCGTCAAATTGCCTGATGGTACTAGTCCAGAAGCTTCCTTTGGTCGACTATCGAACGACCATAGCGAGCGAGATTGCGTACGTGGTTTGAGATTCTAACAGGTGGGTTTCTGGTGTTGTAATGGGGATGTGTATTATCGACAGCGTTATTCGGAGTGGAGGGTTCATGTGAGATTGCGATTTTGGGAGGAGGTGGTACGTGGTTTAAGAGTCTTATCGGCGGGATTCCGGTGGCCATATCGGTTTACGTGTTATTGGTAACGGTTTCGAGAAGGGGTTTGCGGTAGGTATAGGTAGGTAATAGGCTATATTTGGCTTTTTATATGTGTACACTTTTTCTACCAGAAAACTTGTTCCAAATATCAAGTACATTATAAGTTTTCTGATAGAAAATATTCTCTGGGTGGTACTTTAAAGGAGTTATTTATTTAAATTTTCGTGAACATTCGAAATAATGAGGAAACCTGGTTCTTTAGGTTGAAAAAGATTGAAAGATTAAAAATAAAGTTGTCATTGTCAACCGATTTTATTTATTTTTTATTATAAAAAATAGTTTTTTTTAAATAATCATTGTTGTCATGGAAACGCACATTGTAATCATTTTACCATAATATTATGTATTAATTATATTATACTATTGAAAAAGCAACACTATCGACTGAGATCAGCTCAGAATCGTTTTTTCGTTGGCAACGGTTTATCGTTGCTTACAGATATACATTAAATTCCCGTCTTTATCCTACTTTCCCAACTTCCCGCCTACTTTGATATTGTAGGTGTCTATATTTTATAGGTATAGGTATAATATACAATTATTATTATTATTATTTCGTATGTACTCATGCGAAATGCATGGCGGTGGCGTTTGTTGTTTTGTGTACCAAAAACTCTTTTTCGTAATATTTGTATGACTGCCTGTACAATACAGCTGCTGATATACGTGTGCTATAATTAATGTTTAGTAAAAAAAAAAATACACACACACATTTCTCCGACTAAATTGCGATTTTCGCGCACAAAAGCGTCAATTTAAAAAGAGATTTTATGAATGCGTCGTCGTCGGTCTGACACGCGACAATAGTCCGAGAATATAACGTCCGTTAGATGAGTACAATAATATGTAGTTAAAAAAAAAAAAAAAAAAAAAAAAAAACAGTTCGATTTGATTGTGCCGTAACTACTTGTTTGTTTTATAGGTGACGCGTAGTAGAAATGTATCAGTGTAGAGGAGTTAAATCGGTTGAAACGTTTTAATAGAACAATAATTTTGCAAAGCCATTCGGGAGTGTAAACGCACGGCCAAAACGTCGCCAATAATATTTTAATCGCGATCGCGCGAATCAGTTACGAAATCCGACACAGTTGGATCGCATGAAAAACAAATATGTTTACGTTACAGATTGCAAACACGTCAGAATATTATAAACTGTTACCGATGCAACGCGTGTCGCGGAAATTCGCATAACATTAACGGTCCGTTTGCAATTATAGTCACGATAGGTTTCGGATTTCCTGCATTGCGGAACGGTCTTAGGCACGTCATCGAGATAAATACACGTAAATGGACCGACGAGTTATTATGTATAATGTTTTTAATGTCTTTTGAAAATATGTTTCGATGAACCGATTTTTCGCTCGACATAATAAACGCGCGACTATTATATTATTACGGTCTGTTTTCTTTTAAATTTCAAACGCGAGTCTGTTAAAAATACTCCTGCCGTAATTTTACCAGAGTTACAGCAGCGTAAGTCCTGATACACGACAAAAGAAATGTCCTTTTTTTTTAGTTGTTTCGCTAAAATATAACGTGACTTATGTTCGTATGGTTCTGAGGTTTACGGCCGTTAGGTTAAGCGTATTAAAGACAAGAGGTTAAATCGCGGCGTTTTCTCGATGGAAACGGTGAACTCTCGCGAAATTAAAACGATTGTTGTTTTTGTGCTTTACAGATTTCAACAGCCGAAGGCTCGAACTACGCGACAAAAGCCAAAATGACAAACACGTGTAAATTATTGTTGGCGGCTGCGATACTAGTGGCTTCCGCGGCGGCTTACCCGAGCAAACCGTCGTTCCTCGGGTGTTCGAGCTCGGACGATTGCGGCGTGGACGAGTGTTGCGTTTTAGGTGAGTAAATAAAATAACTATAAAAAAGACCTTGGAACGTTCGTTTTAAATATAAACCCGTTCACGAACTATAATCCGTAGCATCTACAATACTTGAACTAAGTTTATGAACTGATTCATTTTTTTTTTTCTTATGCACTTACTCGAGTTTATTTTTGTAAATGACCTTAAGTCCATTTAAAGTCTAATTTGTTATTCTACTACTGACCTTATACGTATTATCAGCGATTTTACTAACTGTCATATCATGTATAAAGCATATAGTACGCATTATTTTAAACATCTCGATATGGACGTCACTGCAGTGGGATTTGCCATCTCTATATAATATTTTTAACGGAAACGCTTAAATTATTTTCCCAACGTATCAACGTGAATGTATCGGAATGTAAATCGAAACCAACGGCCCAATCAGAGTCGAAGTCCGTTGAAAATATACATTTTTAATTTAACGGAAAACACTTCAATTCAAACACGGACTCGATTCGCGTTTCGTTCGAAATGTTTTGAACTATCAACGGACGAGCGAGTTCATTAATATTGAAGCGTGTAACGAACACGCTCGTCGCGATTCCGAGTTCTGAAATAAAATGCGTGTCAATCAGACGAGTGCAGCTAAAAACAAGTCAATTTTTTATGCGTACAGCCGTGTGCGAAATGAATAATACCGTAATGCGCAATAGAATTATAATGATTTCCCGAGCGTTCGCATTAACGAAAACGAGATAATTCTGTTTTGCGCGCGTCTCTGAAAAATAACTATGTATTGTGATGTACCTAATCGTGTGCTGTTAAATTACATATTTATTTTTTTTTTTTTTCGGGACCGAAATCAATTATAACACGAGATACTGTGCGTGAGTCGGGGGAGGAGGGGGGGGAGGAAATCGTTCAACAGTATTTTAACCGTACCTATGTCATTTCATACTATTTTGCGTATTCGAAATTGATTGTAATACAATATCGTGTACGGGTACGCGCGCGCGCGTTTATACAATACTTAAAAAGCTATCCGATCTGTTTATAACACACATGATACGGTCGATTGTTTCTTTGGAGAATACGAATACATTTTTTTTTTTTTTATCAATCACAAAATATTATAATTTAATACGGCTGTACACCGCAGGAACGAAATGATCCGTTAGCAAAAAAAAAAAAACCCCCGAGATAATGGCGAAACACGATCTTATAATATCGAAATAACTTTCAAATCGAAAAAAAAAGAAAATGTTTATTTTTTGATTTTTCCCCGAGCTGGGAAGTCCGTACGCTCTTCTGGCGGGTTCCTACGCGGACCGAATGAGCATAGAGTCGTTTTACAGGCGGATCGAAGCGATAAAATTCGAGTTGGATTTGAAACTCGTACGGGAAGAGGATGTTTTTTTTGTCTGTTTATTAAGCTTTGTACATCCAAGTGGACGCCGCGATTTCGTTATACGCACGGTACGAATTTCACCGGTTTTTTTTTCTCTGGTCTTCTCCCGGAATCAGTTTATTATACCGTTCGTATCGGCGGGTATTTGCGATTATTCGTCGTTTCATAATGTGTCTGAGTATAGTACAAGAAAAGGCGACGGGGAATTCGATTCCAGTGACGGAGCTCGCGGGCCTGTTTGTATTATTATTGTTATTTTTTTTTAATGTCACTCGAATAACGCGTCAATCCAATGGCGTTTACCATGCGTTAAATAACGAATAATTTCCGCCGTAGACGGGTATCGCTCGCGCGCGCGCCAACGACAATAACGCGGCGATAATATAATAATATAACAGTGCAGAATTTTATCAAAAAAAAAAAAAAAAAAATCAAATCTATTTACGACGGCATATACGTTATGTCGGTTTTTTCATTTTAAGGCACCTAATACGACGCGTGAATTGTACGTATAAAAAAGAACAAAAAAAAAAAATAAAACGACGACACGGCACCCGCAAGGACGTGGCGGTGGCAGTGGCGGCGCTACACATATTATAATACTTACGGACGGCGTTATAATAATATGCGAAAAACGAAATCGGAATGGAAAAAAAAAAAAAAAAAAAAAAACCCGATAATATCGGATGACGGATACTGCGCGGCGAACAGTGCGGTAATATTATTATTTATCAGAACCCCGGGAGGCGAACTCGAGTCGCGGGCATTTGTTGCCGTCGATGTTTATCGTCTTTGGAAAAACTACACCCGTACTATTGCGTGCACTATTTACCGCCGTTGTCGTTACAATAATTGTCGTTACGGCCGTACAGTCGCGCCCCGAGGTTCATCGAAAATTCCTTAAGCGCATATTTAAAAACGCCACGTTTCCGAAATCGGCCGTGTAATACGTGCCGTACAACAGGTAGGCGCTCGAACAGTAATTACACTGTTGCGGCGATGTGTTAGAAAAAAAAAAAAAAAAAAAATATCGTGTTTATAGTGCGAGTCATTCTTCGCGTCGAAATAATGACGCCGCGTAGTATTTTGCCGTGTATTGCGTGCCGTAACGGCGGAATGACGGTGTAAAAAAAAAAAAAAAAAACAGAAAAAAAAATAAAAAACAAACCGAAACAAAAACCAATAGCTCGTGTTCTCGGACGTTTAGAGACAATAGAAAAATACGATTCGCGTGAGAATCGGCCGGCGAATCGTCCGCGCGGGCGCCCGCTCCTACACCGCGATTGCCGGTCTCGAATATTTCCGTTCCCCTCCCTGTCCCCGTTCAATGTCGATGAGTCCTTTACGGCCGTCATTATGTTATTATTGCACGCCTATATAGGTATACGAGTGTACACGACAGTACTGTACGGTAACGTGTCATTACGAACATCCCGAGACGCGCGCGCGGAAATCGCACAGGTATCCACCGCAACGACCGCGATGGTACGGGATCACCGGCGATTGCAACCGCCACGTCGTCAGAATCGTTGTAATTTTTTTCCCCTCGTTACCGGGCGTTTTTTCCGCGGGTAAGGGGGAAGACTGTATTCCGATTTATGTTCAATTTATGTTATTATACTGTTTACATTAAGCGTAAAACGCGTTTTCCACGTTTGCACGATCGACGTACCAAAACCCCCAACAGAATAATAATTATCTGCACGGTTTAACGACATAAAGTTTATTTCCGTATTTATACGGGTAAACTTCAATTACAAGAGGTTACACGATATTTTCGCGCATTTTTCGAGGAAACGTTTGACGAAAAATGTTTACGGAGATGCCAGTTACGGGTTAACGTTTTTTTTTTTTTTTTTTAACGATGGTATCTCACTCCCTCTCCTCCCGGTTACACGTTGGGGTCCGGTTATAAAGTGTCTACATTGGTTTTTTAATGGCCACGTATTTTTCCTGTTGGTCTCTGTTCCGACACTGTCTGTGCAATTTGATTTCTCCGTGCATATCGTGCAGCCTATCACAGTTCTTTTTTTTTTTTTTTATGATATTTCTAATCTATTATTTTCTTTAAACAATAACTTCGTAGGTTTTTGTTGTGTTTCGTCTCAACATTCCGATTACGTTATACCTTATACTGCATGCTGCCCGAAAATCCGTTTACATTATGTTACCGCGTTGTAATAATGAATAATTATTAATTTTAATAAAATAAACAAAATGATTCGTAAATCAAATCATAGCAACCAATATCTCTGCGTGATGCAAGATGCATACAACAATACTCGCGCATTTAAATATTCGATTCGTATAAAAATATCGAGGTCTTTGCAAAAAAAAAAAAAAAAAACAGGTATATTCATATCATGGACAATACTGCATAACACTTTTTACTGGTCATTTTATCTATCTAACATTGTAAAAAGCTGTAGGAACTATCGAACCGTTCTTAATGTAGCTGAAGGGCGTACCCGGTCAATAATAAAAAAAAATAAACGATTTTCCTTAAGTGTATTATTTTTAAAATCTTCAATTTTTTCCGTTTTTTTTCTTCCCCGACATAATCCGGTATTTCGATCCCTATTGAAGTCGCATAATCCTGTACATCAGCGATAGTTTTTAGGTAAAAAAGGTTCCTCGGGCCGCAACTGACATACGGCCAAAAGGTTTATCGGCCGAAATTTACCGGTATCGACGTCGAAAATAGCGCCGGGCCGCAACTCGCCTACAAAAGCCGTGTGACAAACGGTATTTCCCTGCGTCCGCGGTGCGATATTGTAATTTTTTACGCGCACACGGGTAATGGGCGAAACCGGTTTTTTAAAACACGCCGTGCCGCTATAACGGATCCTCGGTACACACACTATGCTCAAGCTCCGGCTCGGGGTCGCCGTGGACTTGACCTTAAATGGTTGTCCGAGCCGCCCACGCACGAACGTTAAGGTTTTTTTTGCCGCGTATCAATCGGCCGTTCTCTCCGCGGTCATTCTGTACACTCGTTCTGTTAGATTCCAAACGTATAGCGAAAAATGTATCGGTTTTGGCGTTTTACAGTGACGCGTTTTTTTCCCGGTATGTTCATAAATTTCCTGCCAAAAATCTCGCTTCGACGATTTTCGAATGTATAGCGTCTTTTATGAATGCAAAATATGTCCGCGACATTGGTGCATTGGTGAGACAGTTTGTTGACTTTACGCGTAGTTCTTCTAAATAATCGGCGATACCGGGAAAATTTAACACGAGGTTCGTCATGATTTTTATAATACTCGTCGAGTGTAATAATGATGCTGTAGTTCAAATTTGTTTCAAACATCGTAAAATTACGGCTGTTTCGAAACGGACTGCTCAATCGGATTTCGTTCAGAATCGTTTTTCCGTTAGTTATGGTTACGCACGGATATAAATCAAATTACTTTTTTAACACGTATTATCCCGCGTTATTCCGCTGCACAAATGCGGCACGCCCGTCAGCATATTTATCATTTATTTCATGAATTCATTTTTTTTTTGTGTCTACAAAGATTATAATATTATATGCTTACATAGCTAAAGTTGTTTCTTTGGTACACCTAACAAGATAACGACGGGTTTGACATTGTAAATAGCGATATTGCAATAAATCGGTTTTCATCGAAAACGGGCACGTATATAGGTGAAATAGGGGTTTTTTTTTGGGTATCACAGGTTCCGCCGCGAAATTTGAAAAATGTTCCTTTTTTTTTTTTGTATCATATTATATACTATAGATCTCTATTGTTTAGAACGTTTAATTTTTTTTTTTATTTATGTATGCCCCTCTCTCCGATATTTTTATTTTCTTTACGCGATTATTATTTGAATCCGGCAGAGTCAACTGTATAAAATCGTCGTCGGTGCATTTTAACCACTAGATTTTAACAAACAACAAACGCATTTTAATATTTAAAGTTTTTTTTTTTTTCAAATAAGATAACCGCGGCTCGGTGTTGTCCGAAATATTATCGGATGGTGAACTTTTTTTTTTTTCGTTTCAAGTTTGAAATACGGCGATAATCGTTGTAGATAATTTTCCAAAAAATATCCACTAATATTATGCACGAGTTGTGTTCCGGATTCTTGTTTTGTCCAAATATATACTAATGCTATCACGTTCGATCGGACCAAAAAGTTAATTTATACACAGCTTGAAAACAAAAAAGAAAGAAGACATTGTAATTATATAGATACTGTATTATATTCCTTTGGTAGATAACGTTTTATCCGTTAATATCGATCGATTTTTATTTTCATCTCTCCTCCCTCTTCCCCGTCGTACTCTAATATTACCACTCAAAGGCAGAAACCCGACCCCCCCCCCGTCCGAATCGGGTAATAAAATATTAAAATATTTACGATATTCTTCGCGCGGGCGTGTATAATATTGTACCCCGCAATCACCATGCCGATATCATATTATAATATTCCGAAAGCAACGAAAATTAGGCTAAACATATTCCTAGGTATATATATTTATAAATTACAATAATCTGCAAAACACGATCTCGCGCGGAAAACAATTTCGTTCGGCTGTACGCGATTGACGGACCGTTTGGTTTTATTAATTTTTTTTTTTTATTATTTTTTTTTTAACCGAACGCTCGTCGAGCTGCTGCAGCTGCATACGATCGATATGAAACAATATTTGTTATAGGTGTATTATGTTACGACGCGTGAAACGTGTCGTGCCGTCGTATTATTATTGTCTGTCCGCCGTGCAATTATCCTACGATTTAATACCGATCTCGATGAAATTTCGCACACCCGACGATTGAAACAACCGCGGGGATTGTCGTTTACTTTTCGCGTCGGAATTTAACGCCGTGAAAAGGTGACTCTAATTCGGTTTTAAAATTTTTTTAGGTCGTTTTTCGGATTACTTTGGACGCAAAAAAAAAAAAAAAAATCAGTTATTATTATTTTGATTTGGCTGTCGTTGACTAGGAAGTATTTTTTCTTAAATTACCGGGCGAAAACGATTGACTGTGACTGATAGTTATATAGATACCGGGTAATTCAGTTACTCTGGTGTAATTTTAATGCACACTGTTCACGGCCACGCGGACGCCCAATGTTACGGACGTTGAATCGTGCGCAAATGTAGTCCGGAGAAGGATTCACAATAGTCACTATTATTCGCGTTTCTACATTAAAATGGCTGTTGACTAATATGCAAAATTCATATCAATAAAACTCAAAAACGAATTCGCAGTACTTTTGGAGATAAAAATACCCTTAATCGGAAACCTCAAGGCAAATTACTCCGCTAAGAGATCTATAAACAACGGGAGTTATGTATAGACGAAGCTGAGAAATTTTGGAACTAGAAAACCACAAGGAGCATTAACATTGATAAGTGGCAAAACACGAAATGAAGTGCGCGATGCAGCCGTTGGGCCTAAAGAATGGCTTGTATAGCTGAATCAAGGGTACAAAGATCAAAAACAATCGATACGAAAATTTCGCACGGTCTTGCCGAAGTTGCTTATACAATCGATAATAATGGTCAGTGACGCGTTCGGAATTGATCGGACGAATTCAAAATTGTCTTTTTCTCCGGTCTTCATTATATTATACAAGTAGGTCAAAATAATATAAAATAACGCGATGACGATTTCGTTCTTGTTCGCGCGTTTCGTCTCGTAAAAATGTCTTCACGAAAATGCTATTTCAAATATTTCGATAAAAAACGATTCATCAACGGGCGTCATTTTTAACGGCCGTGTGAATAACGTACAAGGCACGTAGTTTATAACATGTGCGTGTGGTCTCGGTGTTTTTTTTTTTTCTTTATCGGAAACTGCGTTCAGCACGACGACGACGTCATATTATATTTTTAAGTACAAAACGACTGCACATATTCATTATTATTATTATTATCATCTTGCATTACACCACGTGCGTAAAATATTTTGACGTCTAGAGCTTTATTAGTTTTTATGACATCATCTTGTTTTTTTTTTTTAGATTCTGAACAAAGCGTGGAGCGTATTGGTTTTAGCGTATGACGCGTTTTGTTTTTGTGTTTGTAATCAACTTACCCTACCAGAAATCACGCTCCAATCGAAAATTTCATGGTTACTTTATTGTAGATTATATCTAGTCGATGCATAGAGACGGTTATTTTTTCGATTTTCCTTGTGGTTTTCACGTAGTCAATGGGAAAAACTGAAAATCGTTTGTGTAACTTTTGTTGATTAATGGGTTATATCTCGGCTGAAAGGGAAAAATAAGACTAATAATATTTCGTTCGGAATCGTTTTTTTATTATTTTTTGATGTTCTCATCTCTCGTCGTTTTGTACGTGTCTGACCGGTAGGTAATAATACGCGCACGTACTATTAGTCGAATGTCCGTATAAATCTCCGTGTTACGACGCGTGAGTCGACATCGTCCCGCGAATATTCATTATTTCCCGACGTCCGTCTCTCGTAAATTATTGCAGTTCCGAAATCGAATTTTTTTTTTCTCCTCAACTATTTCGATCATTCCGGGATTCCGAGTTACAGTAAGTTTTACCGTTTCGTACGAATGGATATACCTACCTATCTGTACAGTCAATTTCCCGCGAATAGTTTTCGAAAACTTAATATAATACAGGAAACGCAATTTATGTACCGCGAATCCAAAATCGATTTTGGCGTAGCGTCGTGACGATTCGTCTGTCGCTTTCATATAAACTTACAGTAACAACGCGAGATAATATTTTATTATGGCTCATCGTCCGATACAATTATCTATATACGCACTTCACGGGCAAAGTTTTCTTCCCGTGTTATTTCTGTGTGTGCGCGTGAAAAATAATACCTACGTCCGACATTTATTATTTATTTCCACAATCTTCAGTAACGCGTTTTAATTGCACACACGCGGCCTGTTATCAAAAATACATTAATACTGTTCTAATAGGCAGTTCGTTACAATATTATGACTGCGCCAAAGGTATACTATGGTACCTAAGATAACGATTCGTAAAAAAACACGGACGTTAAAAAAAGTAATATTTTACGGTTGTTTGTTTGCTAGTAAATCTATCGACAGTACGTGTTTTTTTTTCTTTTTAATTAACAAGCATTATAAATATAATCAATGCACATTATAAATAATGTAAAAAAACCAGCGTGTACCGGTTTTGATTCGTATGATTTATCATACGAGTATAATAACATGTAGCAAAACGTATGCGAGATCGGGCAAGTAAATGAATATTTTATGTTAATTAAACTAGTTATTCGGAATAAAGTTAATTTTTGTATTCGCTAACTAAGTTAAAGTTAGTTTAGACATTTTGCATAGCGAACTTAGGGTTATTTTCGATTAAGTTTCGACACGAGCTCGCGTAAAGCGAGCGAACGGAATAGTGGCCAAAGGCACCGAAACGAAGCAATATGAAATTAATAGCATTATAATACCGGCAACATAATAATATTATAAGACTTTCGCACACGCAAGATAAAACGCAAGCGCGTTAAATTCGAATCCCAGAGCGCTCAAATTAATAAATACACTAAAGAAAAATGAAACTTTAGTTTTTTCGCCGTTTAGCGTCTTTAAAGGTATTGTTCGCCAAAAGATATTTGTCGGTGTAGACAGCTGAAACGTGAAAAGCCCATTGGTTCGGCACACCGCCTCCAAACCGATGTCTCTATAAAACGCTTAAATACGTCGTAGAAAAAAGCCCCCGGAACGATTTGCTTGGAAACAATTACGAGAGACCCGCCGAATAAAATACCACGCGCATCACACTTTACACTTTATGCGATTCGCCCGAGAGAACCGTAGTTCTAAACGCCAGTTTAAAATCCTTAGTTCGCGGACGGACAAAGTTTGGGAACCACCGCAATATAATATAATAATAATATAATCGTGATAATATACAATTGTATATCGGCGGATTTTAACGAGCCTTTTAAACGCGCGATTAAGTATAGACAATCGAACGGATATAATTTATCGCGGCGAAAACGTTGCGCCAAATGTTCCGTCCGATTGTTCGAAATGTCGCGATATTTCCAATTGTCTCGCGTTCCCTTTTCGAACCACGAACGGACCCCGTCGGTCTCGGTTCGCGCACACGCGCGGATACCGTAGTCATTATTATACATCAACTTAATTATGGTGTTTTTTTTTTTGCGAGGGACGCGGTAGTGGAGATTTTGTTTTTTTAATAAATCGTTTAATTTGTTTTATCGTCTGCCGAGACCGAGAGGGACATAAAAAATCTCCGCCGCCGCTACGACGCATTATTATAATGATAATGATAACTTTATATATACACGGTCTCAACCCATTCGTTCCAGGCGGCGTTCCGTTTCCGATCGATTGTTACGTTGTTAATTATTATTATCATTATTGTCATAAACATTTCTCGCGAAATTCGCTCGTCTACGACATTCCTGCGGCGCGTATGCGCGCCACGGGCGTATCTCTTATCGCCGCGAGTCACGCGTCTCGAAAAATTACACCGGAGATGCGTACACGGGAAATATTACTAGCGTTATATCCCTTTTTTCCCCGTACCGCACGAAAACGCTTTATTTTTTTTCATTATTTTTTTTTTTTTTAATTTTTAGATTCTGAGAGCAGCGAATGATTTATACCGGTTTTACCGTGACGTAGTTTTATTTTTTACTCGGGAAACATTTTTCGGATTAGTGAAAATTCGTTTCAAGTCGTACACCTCAAAAAATGCGAATCTTCAGATCAATCATACCTATACTTTATCGAAAACATTTTTCAACACGCTCAATACATTTTCCGAAAAACTGCTTTACGTGTTTTGTTTTAAACATTATTAGTTAGGAAAATGTTTTTTTCATGGAGTAATTCAAAAGATGTGGAGTTACGGCACAGTGGTACTGAATTTTATTTATTTATTCGTATGGCATAGACAATGTAACGATGTAGTGATACTGAAAAGGAAATATTTATCGACGTTTTCATCCCTGTGTCTTTTTTTCTCGGCACTCTTTCCGGTTATTAAAAATAACTGAGACCTACTATTACTAGCCTATTCAGGTGAAAACTATTCACGTCGTACGATGATGCGAATTATTCAACCGGAAGTACTGTATTAGAAAATAAAGTGTCTAGTCGCCTAATAATTTTTCTTTTAAAATCATAAACAGGTTGTATTAGTTGGTCTTTGTGTTACGGGTTCATAAACATGATTAATACTACTAAATTCTTCTACGTTCAGAATCATTTTTCGTTCGCAATAATTTCGCATCAACGGATAATGTAATATGAGATAAGTCGATGATGCAGTTAAATTTGCAAATTATATAACGAGTCTTCAAAGAATTTAAAATAGTAGATTTATCGAGCGTTTCAGATTCTCCCTTACTATAAAATTATAAAAAAAGCGAAATATATAAGACCTTAGACTACTGCTACTACTACTACTAAGATGTTTCATATTTCCCATCTTGTTATACGGAGCTAGCTACTTGGACGTCGAGTGGAAAAATCGTGGCTAAATAAACGTGACATCGTCGAATTCCAAATATCCCTAAATATTAATTACGTTTATCAATTATTTCCGATTAAAATAATTTCGGGCCGGCGTACCCGCGATTATTTACCGGCGGGGGGGGGGGGGTAAAATTTCATGGGGGTAAATAAATCCCGGTCACAGCAGCAAGAAAAAATCTGTTAGTCACCGTCGCCGGAACGACACATTTTTTACCGAATATTTTTATCGTTTTTACTAAATAATGAATATTGTTGGACATATCATACTTTAACAGCTTTTAGTGCATTTGAATCCGCGTTCTATGTGTACGATGCAGGGTCCATTGGCGATTATAATATTAATAATTGACGATGAGTGGCTGTTATTCCGCACGTTCGATAAAATATTATATGCTCGCGGACGTTAATGTATAGGAAAAAAACAAAATGCACTTAGTTTTCGCGGAAATCATCATCGCATGTGCTATTATATTGGTATCGCGGTAACATATAATTATTTCGACATTATAATCAACGTTGATAATGGGAATCTGACACAGCAATCGCACGGCGGTTGATACCGGCGTATAATACAACAACACTATTATAATAATTTTATAAAATACGCGGCTCTTATATTACAGAGTATCCACACAATTATTTTCGGGTTTCGGCACAATAATATTATCCGATTTTTTACACACGTGTCGTTTCACATCTTTGTACAGTAATATTTGGCGTGACCGCAGCATGGTGGCCGCAGAGTCGTTCGTTGCTTCAGATAATTGTTACTCTTAACTCTTAAAAAAAAAAATACCTAGAAAAATTCACAAGATTTTAAATCCCCCGATCCCGGGATCCAGAAGTATAAAGAGAGGTACCGAGAACCGGATCGGTCAATCCACCGCCGAGACAGATTTTCGTTTAGGTAGTAGTTGACAAACAGATGCCAGGTGAGCGGCAGCCCCTTCCCGTTAGGATTTTCCGGAAGGTTTTGATATTGACGATACATCAGTTTCCAAAATCGGCCGAAAACTCTCTCGTTTAAAACGGCACAAAACAACATTCTCTATTCGGAAAACAATTACGGAGTTTTAAAGAATCCAAAAAAAACATTTTGGTGGACGGTGATTTTTTGTTTCGTTTGGAACATATAGATTTTCACTGTTCAGACATTATTCTGCGGTCGCTCTGTATAGTTTAATACTATTTCGATCCGCCGATAATAGAAAACTAACAACAGCATTATTTTTATAGGTACCTCTGTTAGCTGCTGTAGGTATTTCGATTCTCGCGAATTCGGACCGATGAAGGTTAAACAACAACTGCGATCGAGCAGATATGGTAAATAATATTGTTAAGAGCCGACGCACTTCGCGCTATGGGCGTGTCGCTCTTGTAGGTTGGAAGTTAAGGCATCATATTATTATTATTGGGTGATTGAATTGACCATCTGCGTGCTCAATGATTAATCATTGCTAACGAAAAACGATTCCGAGCGAACTTCGGTTAAACAATTCGTTTCGATAAGCATAAATTAAAAGTTCTATTCATTTGTTAACCGCGTAATAATTAATAATTTTCCCCGTGGTGTTTTTTTTTTTTTGCAAATTATTTTTTGAGAATTTTCATGAAACCGTAGAATTTTTATCGGGACGCCGTTAAAATAACTGACAAGATCCGGAAAGTGAATAAAAAAGAAAAAAAAATGATCGGAATTTAGAAATCTTGAACGCGATAACACAATATCGTATTTATCGCAGATAGGGAGATATGTTTAATACATGCATGCGGACCGCACCTACGCGCAAATATTATTGTTACGATAGCGTCGGATACGAACCCGTATCAGTGTAGTAAAGATAATTAAATTCTTAATTCGCATTAAACTTAATTAGCGGGCATCGCTGGGAGCAGTCGTTTATTATTGAAGGAGCTCGCGGGAAGTTTACGAAGTATTCCGCGGACGAGTAGATCGGACGAACGGGAAATTCTTTCTTTGAAGTATTTCCGAGCGGCTTTCTTATTTTAATAACGTATTATTATTATTATGTTCAAAAACATGTGTATACTACACAAAAATTGAACGCTATAATATTTTCAAACTAGCCGCTCCGTTCGGAATCTAAAAGCCAAACGAAATATCACGCGCGTCTTTCATAAGCCGTGAAGTTTGAAAGTTATTTCTAGGATTCTTGTATATCATGAACGGGCAGTTCAGATATGTCAATAACGGACAACGTAAAAGTCGTGCGAAGTATACAAAATTGAATTCGGTTTTATTTACGCGTATACACACACACGCGTGCGTGCGCGCGCGGACACACACACACACACACACACACACACAGTCAGGTCATCATGACGAATTATATTGTGCAAAAATATTTTTTAATTTAGCGCGTCAAAATGAAAACCTATTTTTCCCTTTTTGCACATCACGTCGCATCGTTGTCGTAATGATAACGCGTATATTCTGACAAACTCGCAGTAATTATTTTCGATAAATTACCGAAATAAAATTAAAAAATTAAATGTTGTAACGGCAACAAGTCGGCTGGGAGAAAATTCGACTCTATACTGACGGAGCTCGTGGCCGTTTTTTTTCTCTTTGCGTCCACTACGTTCATTTATTTTATCTGATATTATCCTGTATGTGTAATGCAATGTTTTTGAAGTTATTTTGTTTGAAAGGGCGCACGTACACCGGCAAGAGTATTATTAATTTTGTTTACGAAATTCCGCACTGTACGTTGAAACATTAAACTTCAAAGAGTCGTTAAAAAAATATCACTAATTTTCCTTACCAACAACAACAAACCAAATACCATAATATAGTAAAATATGAACATTAAAACAAAAACAAAATATAGGTTTTTTTTTTTTTATATTATATTTTAAAACCAATATTGTATAATATTTATTTTTACGTCTCCCAAAAATTATAAAAAATACATTATTATAATAATGTTCTGCAAAATCTGTTCCAATCTTTTTTTATATTATTATTGATTCATCGTTCGTCGTTTCGTCTGCAGCGATTCTTTTATGTTTATGTACCAATAACAAGATTCAGAATATTACATGACCTGTAATTTAAGCATCGGATTTTTGTCGCAGAATATGACAAATTGTATTGAGAACCTTATCTATTTTTCAAATTTTTGTTTTTTCGGTTAAACGTTAAAATACATGCCAGTGTTTTCAATTTTTTGTTTATTTTTTTTTGCTTACTAAACTCTAATTCGGTGGATTTGCAGACTACAGTGTCGGCCACTCTTTCAGAACATCACTACATCAGTAGTCACGTGGAATTCTACAAAGGGCACAACAATTCCTTCAACTGGGGATAACTTATAATCCGCTTATAGTTTAAAACAACATTGTATCGGTATAAAACATCACACGGCCATATTATTTAGTGTTGTATACATAACTTTGTGTGTTCGGGGAATAAGCGGCGTTAAATTTCCCAAAGAGGAAGGTTTTTTTTTTTTTTAAACTACAAACAAAATTATTTAGATTATGTGAAAAAAAAAAAGACAATGATGCGGGACTGACGCCCTATATTCTTCGTATATACGCTCCCGGCCATATACGTGTAATAGTTAAATTTACCCGCAGCAGAAATTAGTAAAATGATCAGTTTCACAGCAGACATTTTCGGTAAACGGAAAATCGGTACGGTTTATTGTGTTTTGAAAAAAAATTAAATGAAATAAGTGGAATATTTGTACTATAAAATTTATTTCCAGTGGTTCAAAAAGTATGTCCAAAATTAAATTAAGTATAAATTCACAATATACAATGTTTTCAGTTGTTCAATACTTGAATAGTATATACACTGAAATTGAAAATTGAGGATTTCACCTTAAATAATACAATACTCTGCATAATTTATTACTCATTTAAAACCTACCGACTTAATTAAATTCGTTGTAATCTTTTGCGGACATTTTCATATAATATTATTATTTTTTTTTTTCTTAAAATGATATCCGAATATTTATTGTACAACATTAATTAATTTGCTTTTTCAGTTTGAAAAATTTAAATTATAATTTGAGAAACCCTGAATTTTAACAAACGTACCAAGTTACGTATTCCAAGTTCAAAACGATCGAACCAAATTTTTCGGACAACCGACATTTTCGTTGACCGTAAATACATAATAATAGGCAGATAATGTAAAATTAAACTATCATGCACCTATAATACTCATTAGTAGTTATAACTTATAACTTAGTATTAAGTACTATTATAACTTTAGTGTATATTTATTTAATCGCCGAAAGTAAAAATTACTCGATTTCGTTAACACTCTTCGCTTTTTTTAATCGACGGCGGTAAAAAAACACAAATCGCCGTAGCTGACAATAACTGCGTACAGTGCGTGCACGGCCCTGATAATATTATTCCGTAAGTGTAGTTCGAAATAAATGTAACTACGACCTATTGGATTTCGGGAAAAGAATGCGCAGAGTACCCCGTTCGAATTTCAAACTATCTTAAGGACGGCCGCGGCGTACAATGGAAATTAAATTAAATTCCGATTTTATCTCGAAATCTGACACCTTACAAATTTAGTTGCAGCCTAATAAGTTCACTAGAAACGCGCACGTCAGTCGAGTGTAGGTATACAGATCGTATACCGACGAATTATCAATAATAACGATTTCGACGGCCAGAGAAATGTCCTAATATATATACACACATCATTATAATACAATTATTATTATTGAACAGGCACAAAACAAAATAAACCGAACACGGTCAAACGTTAAAAACATTATACCGTACGAAACATTATGACGTGCGGGCAATGTGTTGTTTTTTTTTCCGTACGACATTTATTCCACAAATATTATGACTAATCGGTAAAATTTAATACGTATTATTATGCCTATGATAATATACTGTATGCTGGAAATAGCGTTAGCCGCGTTCTGACAATGCTGTTTCGATCGACATGGTCCCTAGCATAGACTGTTTCGGCGACGTTGTTTACGGTTATATTGTCGGCCGAATGCGCTTTTCGACAAACGGGTGGCTTAGCAATCATTAAAAACTACGTATTCGGTTTCTGGTTATGGGTCGGTGAAATACCGCGCTGTAAACGAAACGAGTTTTGGCGATATTGCAACCGAGTAACACACAGTTTACCGAAAAATATGATCAAAACGAAGAACAGAAATCATCGTTCAAAAATAATTAAATTCCCAAAAATATACTAAGTATGCGTTCCAGGTGAGCGTCCAAATACAGACATTGAAATTTAAGAAATCCGGTTTTACTTAATTTTATAAACAGTCGGAATTATTTAAGTATATATACCGTTCGTATAATTTGACGCTTCCAAAATTACTATTCGATTTCGTATAAAAAACTCCTAGGATTTTTTCTGTATTTTATCAAAATATATTATTTCTTTATATTAAGTGATAAATTGGCCCGCCTGGAGCGTCCCGTTAGTGACTTTAATTTTCCTTATCTAATACCTATGTCTTCCAATCTAAACCCCTTCCTGACGATTTTACGTCTTTCCTTACTACATCGTGTGCGTGGTTTTCCAAGTGGCTTTTTCCCAGCAGGAATTTCTTGAAAAACTACGCCTGTGTGAACGAATTTTGACTACGCCACGTGTAGCCAAAAACTTTTCAAGTTAAAAAGATAATGTAATATAAACAAGTATAGATAGTATAATATCAATAGTTAGAACTATTCGCATTAAAAAATAGTTTCAAAACTTTTTAAACAAAATACGATTCGAGTTGTTTTTAAAACGATTTTTACTGTAATAGCTGCGTTATTGCTATTTATGAAAAAGTATTTTCTAAAACGTAATTTATCTTCATTTTATTAAACTGCCTGCAGAATCTTCGGTAAATTAACAGACCGTATGGTCATGAAATACGTTTTGTATTGTATGTCATAAACATGATCTTTTTAATATAATAATCGGCTTTTTCGTCTTCGCGTCATTGAAACACTAAATAATATAATTTTTGTCCAATTAAATTGTTACTAATTGTAGTATAAAAAAACAAATCGCTTGTGCGTGTCTCGAACAAATTTTCAAATCTCAATTTAAAACTTTTTCCTCGCCGAAAGCCAACGCGCTACGTTACGTAAATAATAATATATTATAACGGATTTTCATAATAAAATCCACCGCGGGGACCCGAAGGCCCTTTTAAAACTAGGACATTGTAAAGCAAAAAAAAAAAAAAGGCGGTAAAAACCCCGGAAAGAAAAGAAAAACAAACTTAAATTCAAACGTTCGAAACGAAATTGTCCCCGGTTTTTTTTTTTTTTTTATTATTGTATACGAAATTATTAATAAATGTTCTATTTTTCTTAAACGTATATGCATACATATTTCACCGGACAAAACTTTACGTATTACATTGGCTGATATTATTCAGAACTAAAATAATGAAAACGGTAAACACGAACAATAACCACTGCAGATGCCATACACTGCGTTGCCATAACTCATTTTCGAACCGCCCTAAACACATACTGAAAAAAAAAAAAAAATTAATACAAAAAAATTTCGTCTCGCTAAATATGTCAAAGAAATCCTTCAAAGAGGCTTAAATGAAAACGCGCGGTACACCGCGATTTGTTAAACGCTTAGTGTCAAAATTTAAAATAATTACGAATATTAACGAAATTCCCACGGAGTGTGCATCGCCCGCGTTTCTATAACGCTGCCGTTATTCCGTTTAGGACGCGCATATTTTACTTGTCGTGTTGTTGCGTTTGTCATACAATCGCCGCGGTGCAATATTTCACACGTTTCGAATACACCGTCAAAATATATTACACTAATGGGTTTGTATCCAATCCGAAAATATTTTGTTTCAATCGAATTATGGAATAACGCGTTGAACATTGACGTGTTGTTATTATAGTCATTGCGGCGGGCGTGGGTAAAATCTTTTACAAACAGATTCTATCAATCCGAAACCTCGAAGAATAGATTTCGTGTGAATCCGAAATTCCAAATCATTATAAAAAATAATTTAAAATCGTAAAACATCCATCGTCAAAGCTGCGAAATGTACGGACGGCTTATAAATAATGCGATATTATATGCGAATTAATATGTTAGGATCATAATTTATAAATGTTAAATGCAGTTAGGAAAGGATAAAGTAATAACAGCGATTTGAAACGCTGTACAATTTCGGTGATTGTTAGTGCTGGGATTTGCATTGTTTTTCAAATTTGTGCGATGCTTGTTTTGCTAATGATTTTTATCGTGTATTTACAATTGGGAATAGGCAAACGTTTTATTCTAGAAATATATTATATTGTTATGGTGTGCGATTATGCGTGATAAAAGTACATACGACTGAAAAACCCCAGGGGAAGCAATAGTCCTTTTTGCGCTCCCCAGCGGTCGCCTTTGAGAATAAGAAATTTGATTTTGAATTTTTTGATTTTAAGTCATTATTTTTTTTTTTTAGAGCATCTTAGGGTTTTATGATATAAAATTAAAATTTGAAATTTTTATTTTGAGTTTTAAACTTTTTCGGTTAGTAAAACGTTTTGAATTATTTACAAATTGACCATAAAAAAGATACAGATTTTTCCCAATCAGACTTTATTTGAAAGCATTTTCTAGATTCCGAACAATTTTTATTGAAAATAAAAAATTGATCACAAATGACGATATCAACAGTTTTATTTTTGTTGATTTCTAAGTAAATTGACAACGAGTGGTTAGAAAATCACGACTGTTACTGTATAGTAAATAATTTTATGAGTCACGTGCAGTTTATCGCGTTCTCTTCAGAATAGTTTTTTGATCGCAATGATTTATTGCCATTTACAAAGATGGCTTACCAACAGTACGAAGTATGTCCTGCTTTTTAATGTAAAAGATACGTTATGGTATATATATATAGTTAGGCATATTATTATATTCTAGTTGTATTAAAAAAAAACATTTTTTTATTGAATATTATTAAAAGAAAAAAAAAAGAAATGATTTATAAGCACCGTGATATTATTATTATTTTCGAGCTTCCTTTCAGAGTAATATTGTTATTATTATTTCTTATACGCGATGATTTATTGTCGTTTTCAAAATTAAAATACAGTGACTGCGATGTTCCGTGTAGGTGAGCAAAACGAGACGATGATGCTTCGAAACCCACTGCAGTCGGCGTATCATTTTTTCGTGCCACGTACCCTCTCTTCCACCCTAACATTTCAGCCAAAAGCTATTCGCCCGAATCGGAAGCAATTATATTTATAATATGTATAACGGAAACGAAAAACGATTCAATTATTCGCTATGCTTATGTTGTATATTATAATATAATATCTATATATTTCTATTCTATACACTATAAGCCCGGACTAATATATTTTATCAGGGTCGAGCGGTGGGCAAGTTAATGAAAATATGTATTAGATTAATTTGATATTTTTTCACAGTGTTAATAATCATACATAAGATTTGTGATTTTTAAAATTCAGTATGTTCATTGCGTCAAACATAGGTAAAAATACAAGGTTATATTTTGCCCTTTTTCTCCCCAAACAAAGTACCCGGACAAAACAAAAGATTAAAATTAAAATAAATTCAAAAATTATTAAATTAATGAAAAAAAAAAAAAAACAATGAATAGTGATAAAATGTAAGTTAATTGAGAAAACTAAAATCAGAAGTTACGTTAAATGTCAAAATCAATTTAACTTTTTAACTTGTTTTAATGCTCAGATTTGATTATCTATTGGCTTTTATATATATATATATATTATGACACGTTGGATTTTTCATTTCCCCGCGGCTCGAATCGGCTTTCGCATTAGACGTGGTTAATTTTTTTTCTCCTTTTCTAACACCCTGGTCTCTTCACTATACACACCCAATACGCTGTTACAATAACGACGTTATTGAATCACCACCGTTTCGGGTCAGTAAAAAATAATAATAAATCCGCTTATAGGAACGCGCACCACAGTGTTTGTGTAACGGCGTTTTATATGTGCGTATATATATACGTATATAAGTATAGAAAAACCGGGTAAATCAATTTATTTTTTCCCCCTAGCTCTGTCGTTATTCTATAAAAGCAATGGGGGCGAGTCTGCGTTTCCTACAAAACACGTTTCACGACTTTTCGCTGCGTAGTCGTCTGACGGATTTTTCATCGCGAAAACCGCGAATCTATTCCTTCTATACATATGTAAACTCAACAGTACGCACGTATACACAAGTACAACTTATATATGAGTCATGGACTCGACCACATTTTTGCGAAAACAATACTGTTTTCAACCATATCGTAGATTGTACGTATATTAAAAAAAAAAAAAAAAAATAAAAAACACACCTGTAAGCACCACAGTTCCGTATCATTATAGAGCCGAATATTTTCTCAGCATACTTGTCGCCGTCACCGTTACAATATTTAATTTTAGATTCTGAGTTAAGCGAAGAATGGTAATATTGGTTTTACAAAGATAAATATGATATGTAAATACTCTTTCTACCAGACCTTTCTTACTCTGATTATCAAGTATATCATGACTTTTTTTGAAAAGAAATGTTCTCTGGGTGGTACTTTAAAGATAACAGTTTTTAAAATTCTTATCAATATTCGAGGTAATGATGAAAACCTGGTTCTTTAGATCAAAAAAGATAAAAAAAATTAAAATAAAATTGTCATTGGCAACCGTTTTTATTTATTTTTTGTTATTATTAAGTTTCGATTTTTTTTATAATTTTTAAACAATCACTGTTGTCACGGAAACTCACATTGTTGTAATCATTTTACCATATTGTTATATATTGTATATTGTCGACAAAGCAACTCTATCAACTGTATATTACCTTTGCCTTCTCAGCCGAAGAATACGTAGTTAGGAGTTTAAACGTAATATAAGAACACAGGCGTGTTTTTCTTCTCGGAAAACATTTATTCAGTCGGTGAAAATATTCCGATTTTTGCATAACGTGTATCGAAATATGTGGATTTTCAAATTCGATATTTTATGGGGACATTTTTTTTCAAAACTCCAAATACTATTTGTTTATTTAAAAACAATTTCTTCGGCGAGTTAATGTTCATATTTTTTTCACGCACTTGGCAATTTCTTTATAGTTTTTTTTTGATTTTTTACTGCAATCATCGTCGTTAGTATAATATAAACTAAATATTACGCTTTATCCCGATTATTATGCCTTTCAAACTTCCCGGCCTACAATATCGGCCTACTTACTATAATGCGAAATATGTCCTACTTTTTGTTTTTTCGGTAATATTTCATTTTATCTTTTTCGTGCGATTTTCGTGGGGGACGCCGCGCCGTCGCGAATAGTCAGCTCGACGATGCTGGTGAATCGCTCGACGCCCACACCGTGTCGTGTTTTGACACCCGGTAGTGCACACTCGGATGATATCTCATTGCTTTAATATTATTACCATCAAAATATAATAATATTATGCAAATTTTCGTCAAGGACGACGTGCTCGCCACGCACATCTCTGTGCACGTTTGTGTGATGTATCTATGTGATGCGTATTTACCTTATACCGGGCGGCGTATTTACAAACCCTCAGTGATGTATGGCTAAAATAAACCACGCCTTATTCACGTATGTAGAGATATATGGAGATTTAAAGGTACGATCCAAACAAATATTTTTCGCTTCGCTTGAACACTGACTCTTTTAGATCCTGAGTGGAGCGAAGAAGTTTATGGTGTTTTACAAAGATATTTATTTATTTTTTTGATCCATAACAACTACCAGAAATCTTGCTCCAAATTACAATGCTATCATTTTTTCTGAGAGGAAATCGGATTGGGGATTTACTTCAGGGAGGTAATTTTTTGATATTATCAGGAGTTTTCTCATCAAATTTGAAAACCCAAAAAAAAAAACGGAGGAGAAACGGGAAAATGTACGAAGTTGTTTATTAGTAAAATATTAAGTATAATACTATAATAATTCATCACTCAACGAATTATCACAATAAGAATACAAATTAAATATTATGATAAATGATAGTGGGATTAAGTGTCCGAAGTCCTCTACATAAAAAAATTCACTTCAAGGATAATTTGATTACGAATGCTTGATAACAAAATTTTAATTTTTAAATGAATAATAATATTTTATAAAGAGAAAACAAAAGTAAATCTTCGTTTTACGTGTTCGTCCTGAATTACATTTTGCTCTCGTTAAAATTTATTTTACAACAATTTATAAAAATATATAATATTATAAATTAATGTATATTGGTATTTATAATTATCATATTAAAGGACATACGCTAGATATACGGCCGTATACCCGCGTGTCATCAATTTGTCATGAGCTACACGCCACGGATAAAAATAGCGCGATGAGACGTATAACTCCCAATACACCACTGCAAACCCTGTATCCGAGTACGGTCCAAGCGTTATGTTTATGAATACGTTACGCGTATTTAATTAAACAGGAGTACAGGACCTACGGGTGTTTGAGTTTACACTCGGGACGTTATAAATATCTTGGAGCATTATCGGGTTTGGATCAACAATTAGGTTACGGTTTGCTGTTTCCAGACGATTTCCCTTCTGTTATGTCTAAATTCGCGGCGGCTTTTCAGGATCATTTTTGTTCTCCGAAAAAGCGTTGTCCGGAAAAGAAAACCTTATCTTAGTAAATCTTATTAGTACTCTTATAGATAGCCTTTTCATTGTACTCAGAATGTAAACGAAAATTCCGGGATTACATCTACCTACCTCTCTCCACGTTATAATCCCTCGCATTTCGTACCTGCGGGCTCGGACGGACAATATTAAATTATGTTTTTTGTAAAAAACTGTCGACCGAACTCTATTAAGACCTATAATACTGTCGGGTACGTTTCGACTCGGATATTAGGATATTAATTTCATATCGCGGTATTTACCGACGCTACCGGGCCCGGTCAATGGCAAACGCGAGGACCGCGGACGTGACGTTTTCCAAAATTAATATCGTAATTATATTATAAACGTAGGTATGTTATAGACAAACCGCAGCTCGGTTGTCGCGCGATGCGCGTACGTTTAATCCGATCGATCTTGTCGCGAACCGGACGTCCGGTTCGTCCGCACGGATTACGAAATGCCCGGAGTATAATTTCCGCTCGCATTATTATACCGCTATTTTTACTATGTTTTTTTTTTATACATATATATATATATATATATATTTATGTACGGTGTAGCGTCCGAATAATATTCAAAAATTTCACATTTTCTGATAAAAAAAAACCAGATTTTTACACACTCGTTCGCACCATAGTGTCGTGCGATTTACGTAACGATATTATAATGTTGTCATCGATCGGTGTACTGCAGTGAATTTCACGTGTAACACAACGTAATATTATTAACCTTGTCTTCCGAAAATTCCACTAAACGGGAGATCTGTTGGAAAGTGGTCGGATACCGAAATATTTAGATTGCTTTGTGAACAATGGAACGCCGTAATACGAGTATAATACGACCATACGATCGCGGAATTTTAATTTTACTATCAAATATAACGGGTATCTTAATTCGAATCACAAGCGCAAAATAAGAGCTGAAATAAACGATAAGAAAAATCGGTAACGTTGAACGCTGGATTCCGATGGAAATATAGTCAGCAGAGTTGAATTTTGGAAAAAGATTCAACAGTAAAACATCATCAAACCGTTCAGAGTTTTAGAATGTACGAGGGCTCATCAAAAAGAATCCAGGCCGATACTATTACCTCGTATACCGATCATCCCTGGCTTTTGAAATGTTGAATTACTTTGGAATTAAAACAAAATATCGCGAAAATAATCTTCTCGAAGTTTATAAAGAATCTATGAAAACAGATGTGTTCAGAAGTAGTCGCAGAAACCAGTGATATCAATCCTACTGTTTTTATTAACGCTCGGTTTACTATCGGTCTCAATACTTTTGGATTAGTTCGCGTATTATATGTATTATTATACATTAATCATTTCGATTGAACGTCGCTGCATATTGAAAGACTCATCTACGTTTTCTATCGGTGTATCGGTGCAATTTTTAACCGATACCGATGACTACAATACGACCAGTTACGCGCCCGTGAAAATTTGATCGTAAAATTAGTTTTGTTTTTTCCTCTTCGGTAAAAATATTATAATATCACGGGCGAATTGGGACGTTACGCGTTTGTCGTATTTCGCCGATTTGCTACTATTGGTGTCTACAGATATTATACGAGCGGAAACGTAACCGAGTCGGTTGTAGGATTTTCGGAGGTTTACGAATCATAACCTACTCGTCGGTCCAAACCCGATACCGCTGTGAGGATGATCGTGTGATACGCCTAAAACCTGTAGACCGTGGTCGATGAAAAACCATGACGGTTTGCGTATTTACATACCACATGGTACATGGGCCGAACTCGGATAACACGTTATTCCGCCTCTGTATAGCAAACGGTTTTTGAGATTATGTAATTTTCATGATTTATTAATTTGTTATTACTCGTATTTCGCATCGCGGTACACTGTTTGTTTACCTTCGGGTCGAAAACAGTAATTATAATTATTATAATAACAGCGACTCGGTTTAAACGTAATTTATTTTACCGTACGAGTATACAATATTTTGGTGTACTCACGATACGTGATAATATTATTATAGAAGGATGAAAATCGTAATGAATGTACGGACGACACACGTACGGACGTCCGTCTTCGTCTAATCAAACAAATTTGACCTATTTCGTGTAATAACTTTTGCAATAAACTCGGGTTTAGTTTGATTGATAATTGAATTTAGAAATAAAATAGACTTCGGCAAACATACCATTTACGATATTGTGCAGGGGAATAGGAGGGGTAGGGGAAATGGTCCTTCCGCCGGATTATAAATGCAACTGCAGCTATAGCTTACTTGTATACATTCGGCAATTCAATTTTGAAATGTATTTATCTATATATATATATTTCTGTCGAATTACAATTTACAAAAAAGTGTTCGATGTATTGAATGAAAAGACAGACATACACCGCACGATGGGTGGGCGCCGCCGTTGTGGCCGAGAAACTGGGAATGAAGGATGATATCTATATTGTCTTTGAAGTGAATTTAGTCTATATCTGTACGCAACGATAAACCATAGCTAACGAAAAACGATTTTAAGCGAAGTTTCTTTAATACACGTACGCAAATTTTCCCGTCTTGCTTACGTTTTTCCCAGTTTTCCCGAATATTATGAAAATCGCTAGGGAAATAAAAAAAATAAAACCCTCTAAAAGTACCACCCAGATAGTATTTCTTTTCAATAAATATACTACACTCGAAAATCGGAGCGAGATTTCCGGTGTAAAATTCGTTAACAGATAAGAAAAAAAAAAAAAATAAACATTATTGCGTAATACCTTCCTCGGTACGCTCTGAACCTAAAATTTGCTATTTTCGGATCCGAATATTGTAATTTCTCAAACGCAACGCGAATATTCTGTACACTTACACCGGCAAACTTGAAAGACGGAGGATTACTCCGGGGCGAAACCGAGGTTTTTTTTCGGGGGGGGGGTTTAAAAGGGGTAGATGACTGAATCGCTCGAGTATCCGCGTTTTCGCCGGCGAGATGAAGATTTATTCACGGGTGTGTTATTCACTGCGCAGATAATTTATTTATATACCGGCGCGCTGCGGTGTATAGCGATTTGAAAGGCGCGTTTGACGGGCTATCGACGTATTCGTTTATAACCGGTCGGCCGTTTCGCGTTCCGCCCGATGTTATAAACGAATCGCGTTCCGTTACGGACGAATTATACCGTACAATATTATCATACGGTTTTTTCGTTATTGTTCGTTGTTTTTTTTTTCTCGTCGCCATACTGCGCGCGCACACACACCTCGCTCGGTCGCCGTGTACCGCGTGCGTTACGGGCGCGTTCGTTCACACCTCGGCACGTTCTCCGCGGGCCCGGCGACGACGTACGTTCGTTAACGACGCGGACCCTGAGCCGCGCGCGCGTGCACGGCCGTCTATTTAGCGCGCCGTCCATAAAATTACGCGCCGTTTTCGCCCGTCGTCTCCGCCGCGCTATGTGCACGCGCGCGGTTTAACGAGATGCCGCCGCTCCTTCGCGTGTACACCACAATGCGCATTAACCGTACGCATACACAGCGGCACGGCCATAGCCTTCCCCCTCGGGACCGTGAAATATTACTTTACCCCCCACCCCCCTCCTACTCCCCTACCCCCCTCCCGGGCCCGCGGCGTCGCGTCCGACTTAATTCCCGGCCGAGCCGACGGCGGTCCCGTCGCGTCGCTACGGCATCAGTAGCGTTTTGCCGGCGGCACGACCCGTACCGCGCCGCGGTCGATTTTACGCGCGGGCCGCCGGCAGTGACGGGACGGCGGAGCGGACAACGAGCGCGCACGGCCGCGGGTCCCTTACGGGGCGCACGGGCTTCTTACGGCGTCCGGCTGTGCGTGAGTCGACGGCGTTCAGTTGAGCGGGTGTCGGGGAAAAAAACCGGGGAAAATCGGGAGCGTATAAATCAGCCGGTAAAAGGCCGTATTTAAATACGGAATACCGAACCGGCGGTGTCCACGCAGAGACAAATATCCGGGCGCCGTTTTAAAATGTGATCGAACCGTCGCCGATTCGTTAAAAGGGCGCGTGTACCGCGTTACGAATGCTAAATCGTATACTCTGTGCGCGATAAACATCTTTAAAAAACTGTTTTGCTATTTCTTTGCGAAACAATTTTTTTTAGCTTTCTGAAAAAAAAAATGCGTTTCAGTGGTATACGCCCTTTTATGACCGTACGCCGTCGATATAATAATATCGTACCACGGCTAGGCGTAACGGATTTTCAAATGCGTAACGCGCTATAATATCCCGCGCGAAAAACCCGCGTACGAATCGACGGTACACCGATAGACGGTCACGATAATTCCCGCGTTATTACGCACTATTCGCTTTTTCGCCAATAATTAAGAATGCCACAGCTTCTAGATCTATCAGACAAATGAGTATACGCTCTGGAAAAAATGAAAACTTAAAATGGCGTGAGTCCGGCACTACGCTTGCACGGGGAGGACGCGCAAACCCCCGCTCGTGTCTTTTTTAAACTTCGCGCCACTAAACATGTATACCATTTGTTCGCCCACGTGGCAAACATTTTTTTTTTTTTTTGTGATTTTTCAAGCGGTTTCCATAATAATTGGGATAAACACAAAGTTTTCTTTTGCGCCTGCGTTTTCTTCGATACACTCTATGACGCATTGTAAAATTCCTCGATATTTTTAAAGCACTTATGAACTTATTAACTAATTACGAATTAAATGATCGGTCCGATTATCTAGAGATTACACTAGTTACATTGATATTTTGAAAAATTCGTGTACACGTAGTTTTGAAGTTTGGACCGAACAAATAAAGCGGAAAAATTACACCAAGGTAAAAAAAAATACTTTCGAAAATTGACTAAAGTCCTTCTTACCCAGGACCGTGTAAACATTAGCAACCGACGTTCTACGAGATTTAGCGATGAGTCTGTCAGTGGCCTTTATAATATCCTAGTATAGATTTTATACCGCGCGTATTTACATTATTGACGAACATTACACGGTAATACAGTTCCCAGGCAAGTACCTCCCCTCCCTATTCCGCATTTGAAATATTTATGATTCGTGATACCGCGGCGAAACGTTCTTACTTAGGTTGCCAGTATACAGGGCGTCCCGCAGAGAACTGACATAATACAATATTATGCAATAGGTATAAATTATTTGTTCTGTTGAATATTTTTAATTTTTATTTGCTTTGCAATAATTACGACCGGAGCCTTGCTGCGCCGTGATCTCATTGTTTTGTATATTCTGTGAAAAACTAAAAATAAAAAGGTTTACATACTTATTTTTCTACATACAAAAAATGCCATTTTGAAAATTGATTTCGAAACGAAATGTTTGCAGTACAATAAATTGGTCATTAATGACGAATCGTTAATTGTTTACGAGCGTTTAAAGTTTACGATAATTCAAATTATTGTTTTCACTGACAACTACACTATAAACTGTATCAGTCCATACTCCGCAGAATGGGTTTTACGAGAGGGTAATATTATTGAACTGCCGGACATCCGATAGTGAAACGGTTTTGAATATTATCGAATAAACGGGACGACTTACAACAATACAGTATAGGTATTTTATACTGGAAAACAATAACGTTCGATTTCTCGATGTCTGCGGGTATTTTTTTTTTTTTTTGTTACCGGAAATAAAAAACGCTCGATAATGTTCAATAGTTATCTACGGGTAAACGTTTTGTACATTCGGGGCAATAAGGTATAGCGATTTGATGGTTGATATTTTGGTGTTCGCGGTGTTCACTATGGAACTGGTGATGTTAAATCGAGGATTTTTCGCCGAATACTTTGCCTGCGTTATGGTTTCGCCTAACGATAAGTTCGCGTACACGTTAAAATACAAAATACGCTTTCCGATGAAAACATGGATGGTGAAATAATTTAAACAATCCGAAATTGCTTTTTTTACTCCGACATAATAAATTTGTATAACAAAATAATTTGGTTCTTTTATCTTTTAAAACATCGGGTAATTCATTTTTTTTAGATTCTGAGCGAAGCTTGGTTTTAGTACGATTTGTTTTTGTACAACTAGCATTTTAATAGAATCAGTTTTCGTTAGCAATGATTTATCGGGGCGTACATTTATAGATCAAATAACTTTATGTATCTTATTTTTCCAACTTCCCACCTGTACAAGATACAATAATGGGGCATCCATCAGCAGTAGAATCAGCTCTTTTTTTTTATGTCCTTTTATAACACAGTTTTAATGATTCGGTTGTTTAAAACAGTGTTTTCAACACGAAATCAACTCTGGTGTATAGCCGGATATTAGACCGCGCGCGAGTACATTTTCTTTGCATAATAATTACGGGATTCTATAATCGACGCATAATCCGGGTGGCAGTATTAATTATTCTCTAAATTCACCATAATAACCGAAAACCGAAAATTATTATTTCCGATAGGATAACCTACTGAAATGTGGTATATAGGTAATATTATTTTATAACGGATACGGGAACGGAGCTGTATTTTCGACGATAATCATTCGGCGGGCGACCGGAAACCGTATATTTATAATATGATGTTACGCACATATCGGTCGTGACGGAAAGCCGCGGAAATTTCACGACGGCCCTCATAATATTATATTTCACTATCATCATAATAGAAATGCCCGTTTATAACGCGCCTGCAGGTACGCTGTTGACGCAATAATGTTGTCGAATTACCATAGTATTACCGAGTTTAAAAAGATAACGAAAACCGCCCAGCGTTGCGATAAATTATTTCCTAATCAACAGCAACGATATTCCCGGTTAATAATATGTCCGGGAAAAAATTATTAAACGGGCGATAAGGAACAAAGCGAAACGGCTTTTAGCTCTAAATTTCTGCTCTCCGTCACAAAGTGTCGGTCCGTTCGGTTTCTTTTTTAAACAATTTTCCTGCCAGAAATATTGAAATATTACTCAAAGCTACAAGCTTAGCAATTTTTCTGAAAGGAAATTCGATTAGGGAGGTGCTATAGGGAGGTTTTGATTTTCCCAGGAGTTTTCTCACAAAATGTGAAAAACCAAAAAAAAAAAAAAAACCGGAGAAAAATATGGGAAAATCGGATCAATATTAAACAGATATTATTAAAGAAAATATATAATGCTTATTCCATTATTTTATCATTATGTGACGTAATATATATTGTTGACGAAGCATCACTATCAACCGAATTCCGCTCAGAATCTTTTTTCCCGTCAGCGGTGGTTTACCGTTGCTTACAGATATACATTAAATTTCCTACCTTCCCGAATTCCCACCTAAAACAGTGGTTGCACCGTCTCCATTGTCCTAGGACATATTTGTAATATTATTTTTGTTATTATAAAATCGACTATGGTGTACAGAAATTGCAACGGTATAATATTGTTGTCGAAATATTCGTTCGCAGGGATTCGTCAAAAATGTACCGATTCGTTCCGGAGGATGCGCGAGAGCTTTGTCAGGCGTAAAGCGATTAGTAAACCGAACTAATCGAACTTAACCTTACCGATTCTCTTAATTGTCCGTTATAAATTTTGTTACACGTTAAGTTTCGATTTGTTTTTATGTTGCATAAATTACCGCAATAAACTCGCGGTCGCTTGTTTTTTTTTATAAATTTAATTGGAATATATATATTATACATTCAAATACCATTTTTAGATAGATTTGCATATATTGTGCTGTTTGTCCGTCAAAATAATGATTAATTGTATTTTTAGTGAAATTCTCACCGACCGCTGAGCGTTTCCAATTATAATTTATATGCAAATTGTCCATAGCCAACCGTTTGACTTTTATTTTCTATACATATAGAATTTATCTATTTATTTTGTATCATTATTATTATTACCTAAGTATAATTATTTAATATTGAACAAAATTCAATTTAATCGAAAAATATATTATAATAACACTCGTATATATTTGAAGCTTGGGTCAAAAAGGCCAATGTCACTTTTTGGTGAAAATGAGTTATTTGGTCAATTTTGTAAAATTGTATACGATTTTTCTTATGATAAAAGCGCATACCTCAATCAGTGGCTCAACTAAGATTTAATTTTTTTATGGGGTTTTATGAATATGAAAAGAAATTAAATTTTGAATATTGTTTTTGTGGTGGAGGGGTTAAGATTTAGTGTTTAGTTTAACGTTTATGAGTAAAATCTTTAAATTGTTTAACATTCATTTATAAACAACGCATATTGAAAAACAATTTTGACTCGTATTAATTAATAATGTTTTTAAATAAACTTTACTCATAAGTCATAGTATGATAATAAATTACAATCCGATTAAATATCCGTGTAGAGTGTCTCGCCATTTCATCAAACGCTGAATCTGGTTTAACTTCAATGTCAGTATGTATGTTCCATTCCATTAAGTATTTGTTGTTCTGCTGTATTTCTTAAATAAATCGTTTAGCCTCCTAAGTTTAGAAAATGATCTTTACGTTTCCGCATAGGTGAATATGGACAATTGTACACGGTGTATAGACATTCGAATTATTGAATGTCACTTAAGTTTAAAAGTGTATTCATTTCCATACTATTGAGTTATGATTTATTTACAATACGTTTTGAAGATATCCGTGCTTACGGCTAAACTGTCAACAGATTAAATCGTCGACAGTGAAAATAGCGAAAATTATGACATATCGATAGGTTGGAACGCAGATAGGCAAAAAATCGACAGATTAACGAAAACGATCGACTGTCGAAATAACACGTATGAAATGTCCGCACTCGTCGCAATTCAATAATATAAACCGATATAGCAACATTATTATATCGCTTTACGGTACAGTACTTAAACGATTAAGATTAAACTCGAACGGAAAGTATTGATAAAAATCCGGATGAAACGGTCGAAATATTAAAAACCCGCTACAGTATACTGCAGTTTGTCACAATACACATAGGTAACTACTGTGTTAAAACTATTAAACTTGGAACGAATTTAAAACTATTTAAAAGGTAAGTTCAAGTGTTATATTTTTACTTTATACACAATGAATGACAGTGAAATCGCTAATCGAAGTTCCCGATTTTCCAAAGACAAAACAAAGTAACTGTAGATGATCATTTTTCTCCCAGAACCACGCAACGCGCGCGTAAAGATCGCGGGGCACTTCTACTGGTACTTACCGTGTGTTTATAAAGAGAAGAAAAAAAATTAAATTTAATATTTATTTATACGTACAAATAAATTACGCGGACTGATTTTTATTATATTTATATTGTAATTGACATTTAATTGCATTAATAGTGGACGGAACAATTAATACAGTGCCGACAATATTCTCTCGGTCGTATTCGATGCGCGCCCCCGTAGGACACAAAACCAATATTACAAGGTTTACAGGATCGTATTGCGACGTACGTTTATGTTCCGTACTGTATTTTAACGGACTCCGAGCAAGTGGCAATTCAAGCGGCCGAACATTACTTCGTTGATAATGAACGTTGGTTTGTTGACACATGTCGTTCTTTTCGATGTTGCCAAAGGCGACATTTCAGTCCGTCGACATTTTGAGCGTCGGCGCTTCGACCGGCCGGGCCCCTATAATGGCGCACGAGCGCGTAATATCGGAAATTCGACCGTTATAATACGTTATTATTTTTTTCGATTGCGATCGTCACCGACACCCGGCAGACGGGCCCGCGTCGCGAGAAATAACATTGCGTATATAAAAAAAAAAAAAAAATCAAAACACAAATCATTAAAAAGCGCATCATACGTGTATAATATTACATTGCGTTCATTTTAACGCCGTCGCGTCAACACGGTGGCCCGCGCGCGCGCGCGCGTCCACCAGTAATCGCGGTCTCGCGCACGCGCGCGCCGCGCCAAGAGGAGACGACCGCGACGGCGGCAATGACACGACGTCGAAGGGCCGTAAATTGTTGTCGCCGTGATATCGTTTTCGCGCGGCACATACGTAAATAATATTTCGTGTTGCGCACGTGACGGGCCCAGTTGGCGATTGACCGCCGCGCAGTACCCCCGCGCGGTCGTCGCCGCGCGCCGACACGTTAACGGCGCGCCCGTCCCGCCCGCCACGTCGGCCCGTAACGTTTTCATTACGCCCGCCCGCGGCCGCAACAATAATAACGATAAACGGTCGTGCGCTCGGCCGCTCGGCCGCGGCGTCGGCGGAGGGGGTGAAAAAAATCCGCCTCGAAAACCGCGAGCGTACCGGTGCCCGGGGGCGCGGTCGTTCGGCGGCGGTGCGCCGGACGCGACCGGACAACGACCACCGAGTACCGGCGGGGCGCACGTCTACCGGTCCCCGGTTGTCGGCTCTGTCCTCCCGTCGAACGCCCGTCGAATACGGCGGACAAAACGTTTCGGCGATACCGTCGCACGGGGACGACCACCGTATCGGTCGGGATAAACACTCCGGTCCGGACCGCCGACGAGCAAGCAAACGCGTTCGGCGAAACAACCGGAAATCAACCCGGTTCCGTTTCGGCTCGGGCTCCCGTGTATCGCACAGTGTCGTTGAAATCCCCACGATCTCTGACTCTCGCCACGCGACGGACGTCGGGCCGCGCGCGCAATAAAATTCGCGTTATTTTTACAAGTTTTCTCTACTTGCGTCAACGGCCCGGGCGGTTTCGGCGCGTCAGAAGTTCTCCGTTCTTCGCGCTTCCGCGCATCGCTGTTTAATTCGCGGCACGCAAGCCGGCTGCGGTGCCGCTGCGCACCGCGCTTTAAAATTTATTCGCTCCAATCCGTATACGTTCGCCCCCAGTTAATTGTTCCGTTTAAAACGAATAACCGTTTTTGACGGGACAGTTATAGCTGTCCGTACAATATTTATCACACAATAATCCGTTTGCGACAATTCAACATGTCGTTGATTAATTTACATCGCTCAATATGTTAACACGTTCTGGACGTGATGGTATTTCCAAAATATTTGAAATTGCCGAGTTTTTTTTTTTTTAAAAAGCAGTTTACTTTTTATCGACTAAAATGTCGAAATCCGTTTGAACCGCAAACAATTGTAATTTATTAAATAATAAACACAATTATCGATTTGAATTTGTCGAAACATGTTGAACCGAATTTACTCTTCAAAGTAGTCTTTCGGTTGCACTGATTTTTCCCAACTTACGAAAACGATCCGCCCACGTCCCGTGGTCCGCAGTACCTACGTTGATGTTTTTTCTAATTGGTATTATTATCACGAGTTTCCTCGATGTAATTGTTGTTAAAACTGTGTATCATACGGCGAAAAAAAACTATACCGTTTTTTTTACCGATTCGCGACCGGCGATATAAGTTTCGCAACCTGCATCCTTATCTACTCGACTCGTGTATTCGAGCGGTGGTCCCCGTCGACTGTTTTCCCCACCTTCGGTTCCTTCCGTTATGCGCTTCCCGGTGGATCGTCGTGACGGATTGTAGTTTGGCTCTTCTAATCTTCAGCATATTCCGGAGGAAACATTTTTATAGGTCAATTATCGTTATTATTTATTTTGGCTTTTACGCGCGTTTATTGCGCAGTTATTTTCGTTCTAAAAACCGTCGAGATAATAATAATTGATTGTTCGTAATCGTCGTAATTCACCGATAGTTTGCGAATAATTACTGACAGTTTTAGTGTTATTGCGCGTTGCCCCGGCGATACAATTGCGTTATTTGATTAGGGCGCAGTGTGCTGACAACGCTGCGCTTTCTTTTCGCACTGTGCTGCAGTTTATTATTGTGTTCGGACCGAAACGTGTCTTATTACAGAGCCGCGTATAGTTTTAATGATAGTATTGTAATATGCTTTATTCGAGATCTTGTTAAATATACAATAATAACGACACCTCTGTTATTATGCTCGTGACGTAGCCGTGTATTATAATATTGTAAAGAAAAAAAAAATGGCGAATCGCCCTATATTTATACGTTATTCTACTATTTTTTACACATACAATTATTAATAAAAGACAGCCGGAATAATAAAAAGATATAATATACTCAAAAAAAAAAAAAAAAATTATAATAAACTGATGGTTTTTTTTTTTACGTTTCGTGATGAATTTTGACTCTTTCTTTTCCTCTCCCCCCACCTGGTTATATTTCCCCTTATATTTTCAAATATTTTAGTATATTTTTCTACACAAGCGGCCGGGTCGTGTTTGTTATATAATTTCGATTCGCCTACAGAGTCTACTTTAAATTCGCATTCGAGATTTTATCGCCTATACAGTTGATTTACATACGAAAAAATGCATTCGAGTATAATTTTATGTTCACTCCGGTTTGTTTTTTTTTTTTTTTTCATTTCTCCGTGAACAAATGCGTTCAGTATACGGTTTTTATTGTTATCTCGCAGTATCACCGCTGTACTATATATACGTACTATAATAATACACTCACTCTGTAATGCGCTCAGGGTATTGCGTCGAGTTACATCCGTTATTCACGTACACTTATTTGACATACAGAGTGAACGCGTTTTTTTTTCCGTCTCAAATATTTTGGTCCAACTATCACAGTCGAATGACGCACGAACAATATGAACAAGAAATTCACTCGGAGTATTAGAGTCGTGATCCTACCGCGTTATTTTCGGGTATAGACGTTTACGGAAAACCGACACGCGGTTCGGGTACATTATCAGTTTCGCGTTTGTGTTTAACGACAGGCGAACAGCGTAATTCAAGACGGTTCCGAACCATCGGAGATCCGTCGACATTGCCTTATATAATTAAAATGTATAGTATGACCAGTAGCGTGGCGGAGGTATTATTTTGGAGCAGTTACTCTTTCAAAATCACCCCTCAACCTCCGTCAGCCACGTTGGTGACTAGATTTATCATAGACAGTAGAAATACGTACACGAACATGTGTCTTACTTATGTAAAATCGGGCCTGAATTAAGTGGTGGGGGGGAGGCGGAAGAGGCCGTGGCCCCCCAGGCCCCTGGATATCATAATATTGTGGGCCCTTGACTTTGGCTTGTAGTACTGTATAAACACCAATATTTTGAATATGTTTACGGACCCTTAAAACTGTTTGGCCCCGGCCCCAAAAATCACCTAAATCCGGGCTCGTGTTACATATACGTACTATATTCTACAGCATAAAAACCTGTAAGTAGCGGTTCAATAATTCAGTACTTAATAGTGAATCAGTACGCCAAAAACATCAGTCTGTCGATGCAGACGGTCGTCGTCGGTCGGTTATAATGCATAATTAGGAAAACACAGGCAAGCTGGTTGGTATCTAGAAATTCGCTTAACGACCGCCATTGCTTATACCCGCGTAATAATAATTATTATAATGGTATTACAGAGTCCTTGGTCTCCCCACATCCAACAATATTTTATACATTATATAGTCTGCGTACACTACAACACAAACCAACATACAACACTACGAGTGTAATAAATTAACTAATCGAGCAGGTACATCCGAATTATACAAATATACAGATATTTTTTTTTAAATTTGTTATTATTTGCCGTGGTGGAAATTTTATTAGGATGGACAATTGGAGGGGGGGTGGGTGGGTGGGTGTGTAGGTGGTTGGATATCTTGTATACATTTATTTTCGCTCCTCACCAAAAATGAGTTCAGCACACCGGTGTTGAGTATGACGTATACAGAGCACAGACTGTGGCCGACTAACGAACGTAACACCACGTCCCGAAACACCCAGTGGTATGATACGCGCGTTTTAAAAATTACAGCAACACGGCATATTATTGTTATGTTACTTTATTTGCACATTTCTCAAATGAAATAGGTACCGCGCGTCCGGGTGTCGTTAAATCGATTTTATGGGGTTGGTTGATATTTCTTTCTGGGAGAACGGATGTGTTTACACTCGGATCGGTAGTGCGTCTGAATCTGCATTTACCGTGTAGCCACCCCGGGAAACGGTGCCGAAACATTGACATCCGAAAATATTACAACAACAATAATAATAATAATAATAGTTTACAGTGTATAAAATAGTTCGTGTTAATGTTTATCATGTTTCGTTTGTAAGCTAGTGTACACGCGCCCGAGTTTTTTTCACTCGGTATTTTCCACTTAATGATTTCGTCTGATATTCATGATATACATTATACGGCTAATGTTAAAATTTTATAACGCCGACTTTTCGTTCGGTAAAACGGATTTCTCGCTGTTAGTTTTAATTCGTAGTGAATTGGCCGATTTTTCAAATCTAAAGGCAATTGTCTATGTTCGTACGTCGGTTGATTAACGTAATTTTAATTTTCAAACGAAATGCGACGGTTTTTTGAATTGTCATATTTTCGCATATTCGTATCTGTTTGTAAAAATTAAAATAACGATTAACAAAAAAAACCCCTTTCTATTCTAATTTTTAAGTTTGACAATAGGCCACAATTTATAGTGTGACATTAGATATAACAACACAAAATCCGTTTTATCGAACGAAAAGTTGACATTATCCAGTTTTCAACATTTTAATATACACGCGTTGATGTTCATTTTTGTCTATTTTTCTCCGAAAATTGATATTGTGTTGTGTCCGTTATAATATACGTAGATCTTTATGCCGCTGTTTTCGGGAATTTCTAGCGGTTTCCACTAGACTCACGGCGGCAAATTATTTTAAGGTTTTTTATTTTTTACCGAACGCGCCATTAAATTATAAAAAAATATTATTATTTATTTATTATTAAAAATAATAATAATTTATAAATATTTTCGTTTTTGGCGTGCCTTCAAAATTGTTTCGCGTGCCATAGATGTTCCATGCTTGCCCTATGAGCTCAAACTCGGGAATTGAGTTGCTTCGTAGGTAGATTGAAATAATAAAAATTAGGTTGAATTTCAACATGAATTTAACCATGATATTACGGGTGGACGTTGGTTTTTTAGCTTTGCACGTAATGACTCGCCAAATGAAGCTAGGGGGATTTACACGCGTGCCGTTATAATTTCGAGGATATAGTTTTTTGATGATTTCAATTTTCCGCCCCACACCTAACATTTTTACGCTTAAATGTTACTATTATTTTTTTTTTTTTTCTTGAAGATACTATTATTGTAGTATAGTGTATTATCAATTTACGCGAGCATATGCAATTGTATTATTTAAGTATTCGGTTGTTTATTGTTGCGCAAAGAATATTTTTTTGTTTTTCAAACGCTTTGGTCGCGTAAAATGCTCCAATTATTCATTATACAGGTATCTTACGATTTGCGGATCTTTCGACCGGCGGTGGCGATACTTTATTGAAAAACTGTTTGTTGAATATTATTCCCGCGGTATCTACGATCTAATAAGTCGAGTTTTATCGTATAACTGGACGTTCGTCGAAGAGAAGATAAAAAAAAAAAAAACGACTAGGTATTCGAAAACTATACATAAGTAAAATATTATACTGCGTATATTATAATAGTGTGTTGTCGGTTTCAAATGGAAACATTATCGTCGCGGACAATGTCATAATCAACAATTATTTTATTGTTATCGTCCCAGAAAATATCGCGATTATATTCGCAATATCCGTATTCGTAGTAAAACGAATATTATAATATATTTATTGAAATACGATAACACGATATCGTTTATGTAACGATTATTGATCGTGTGAGGTGTAACGAAATAATTTCTTTGTACACGTGCGCATTGCACAACAACACGCGCCGTCGTACTTGATCTTGAGTAAAAAAAAAAAAAAAAATCTGTCGACAAAGTCGACTGGTCTCTTTACGCGAACCGGGTGATCGATGTGTTTTTATACACCGCGTAAGTACACGTTTTTAATAGTTCGAGTACGTGGTATGAAAGGCGTTTGTTCGTACGTATAATAATTTAATACCTACTGCCGCGGTAGCTGTTCGCAGTGGCAAACTGGGGGTTTAAAAAAAAAAAAAATTTAATAATAATAACTCGACCGAACGAATACGCGTAGTGCGAACGTACAGTGATTATTATTGATGTATCGTTTGTCAACGCTGAATAGTTTATACGATTATTTCGCATTTATCGCGGCCAATGGGGGCGGGGAGCTAAAAAAAACCCGTTAGCCCTCTTCGCTACCCTGTGTACGCCGCGGGTCGGCTGGGCGGAGTAGAGCGCCACGTAGGTATAAACAGCGACTTGAGCATTTTTTTGTTCTCTTGATTTTCGTGGTTATTGAGAAAAATCCCGAACCAGACCTCATAAATGCGTTATAAGTTTACCGGCACTTACGTATTGACGGCGACTTGCAACGACGAGCGGTGGCGGTGCAGTAAAACGATACCGATGAGCGGGTAGCGTCATTATCGATTGTTGGCGCGTGCTCTAATACGGGACGGCTAATTTTCGAGTATCTCTAGGTACCGACATTAATGATTAATATTGTTATTATTGTTGTTGTATTTGGAAATCGACGGTATGGTTGGTGTACGTATAACCGCCGTCGGTCGTTCCCGGGAATACATTCAATCGGAAGGGATGCGTATAGTAAACAAATAATCGTCAGCAAACCGCAGAAACTTTCACGTCCGACAAGAAAATGGAAATGTGTAACAGCCGGATCCGAAAAAGTCAATTTTTGTTCAATAAACGTACTCGGGGAGAATATTATTGTAAAAAAAAAAAAAAAAAGTATTTGGAATATTTTATAGGAATAAATGTTTTAAATCAATGTAATTAGTTAAGTACTTGAGAAAATTATAGATATGATGATAGGGTATCCTGCGTTATATTTCAACGGTTGAAAATTTCAAAAAGAAAGTTTGAAATCAAGTATCGTCGGGTGGAAATCGTCCGTTTTTTAAACCGACAAATTCACGTGGTTCTTATTTTCCGGAAAAAAAAATTAAGTACGCATCTCTTAGTAAAGAATTAAGACACTCTAAAACTAGAATGAAAATATTGTTTTTTTTTTCTTGAAAAATAGAGTGCTTTTTAAAACTTTTCGGAATACAGTATATGAATATTTTTGAAAAAAAAAGTATATTTATAATATACACAAAAATTATTCTGAATAATACTCGTGTCTGTCAAGTTTGTGACTTGACTGAAATTATAAATGCATTTCAAGATTAAATTACTGAATAATATTCATATAGTTACGGTTGTATTTTTAATCCCCCGTGCGCTCCAACGATGGTAATAAAAATTGCGAAATATTGGTATATTTTGAATAAAAACGCTGCGAAATAAAACGGTTTCGTGATTTTCGAATCAAACGTGTCGATCAATTACCGCAGTTCGTACGTTTCGATAAAATACCAATAGGAAGCATTACACGAGCGCGGATTTCGAAAAGCTATTGAATTTCCGTCGGCTTTTCGTGTTGTCCACCTGCCCCTCCCCACTCCTCCACCAAGTCACCGCACAATAATATCATGCCGCGAGAACGTGTCGAATCGATGATATTCTCATTACAACCTATATTATTGTATTATATTTGTGGTCTGACGGGTTTTTTTTTTTTTCGCGTCCCGCAGGAATGGTCAGATACAGTGTTCCGGTGTGCAAGCCGTTGGCCGACACCGGCGAACTTTGCCGGCCGGTTATCGACAACTACAACCAGCTGCCGCAGAACGTGACCGTGTCCTATCCGGACGGGTCCACGGCCGACGTGTTCGTGCACATGGTCGCGTGCCCGTGCGTCGCCGGACTCGAGTGCACCGACGACATGACGTGCTCGGGACTGGACGGGCCCGGGAGGCCGATGCTCCGCGAGGACTACACCGACGTGGACGAGATCAATCACCTGTGAGACCCGCGGCGATTGTGATGAAATCAACGCCAAACAGCACTAATCGTGTTATTCTTATTATTATTATTATTATTATTATTATTATTATTACGATTAGGGATGTGAATTTAAAGCACCGAAAAAACCTTATTTTTTTTTTTTAGAAAAAATCCAATAAATATATACAAGCTCAAGAAAAAGTCCGGATTTGTCGAAGTTCGAAAATCCGGGATTCTTGGAATTTTGAACCCGAAATCCGGATTTCGGATTTTGAAACATTTAATTAGTATTCTTGTATGTATTACTTATAATACATTTTTCAATATTTAGATTTCACTTTAGGTTTTTTCAATTAGAATACAGAAATCTACAACGTTAAACCCGAAATTCGGATTTATAAATCTGTAAATCTAAAATTCCAGTTTCATAATCCGAAATGCAAAATCCGGATTTAGGTCACACCACTAATCCAATCACGGAAATGCAAATGAAATACATATTATTACGTTTTGTACATTTTCTTTTTTATAATTAATATTTCTCTCGGATATTATGTACATTTACTTGCCAGAAACATTTTTAAAAGTACCGAGAAAACAGGACTAGGAAAGAATCGAAAATATAGAAGCAAAATAAAAAGCGTTTCAAAACCGAATTCGTTGTTATTACGCGTGACAATATAATTCTACATGATTTAAACTCTGTGTGTTGGAAAAGCTACGTGTCTTACAATGAGTTATAAAACAAAGGGCATTTGCTATAAATTCACAACCCTAATTACGATTATTATTATTATTATTAATATTTTACCACACTCCGATTTATCGCTACCCACCCGTTTGTAATAATATTATTGTAATTCAAATTTTCGCCGTGAGGGAATCCGTCCGGTCCCGACGTTTCTGTTTCTTTTACCGCTCACCGGGCAGTTTGTTATTATTAAAAACAATCGACTTGAAGAAGAAAATAAAAAAATAAAGAAGTAAATGAATCGGCCGAAATCTCCCGTTCCGCATTTTATATATTGTGCACAGTGTCTGAAATTAGTGCAGGGGAATGCGGGGGTCGCTCCCTTTTTAATTGTTTTTCCGACTCGAGAATATGCAAAAAATCAAGCGTTGTGTTTAAATCCCGAATTGTACGATAACAATAAATTACGCGTTGTAATTGTACGTACCTACTTATTATATACTTACACGTTCACGGTCTTAGATGATAAAGCCTGACGTTTCTCACCCGCCCCCGTCTGCATTCAAACGATGTCCGCTTGTTGAGTTTGGATTTAATTCAAATTTTACTCGTTAAGCGCGGCAGATTATAACAATATTATTCGAGGTCACGCAATTATCAAAGACTTGCCGTGTTTGCTACGGTGTTTCTGTTTATTGTTCGTATAAAGCGTAAGTGTGGCGATTCCGTTAAATTGCACTCTGGTAATTTATCGTTTCATTATTTGCGCTTGTATTTTTCGGTTATCAAAAGTCGTAAGCTCGAATGAGCATAATCTACAGCGGTTTTTAGCGAAATCCGAATTATACAAATGCGGCCTCGGCGCGCCTCGACAACTGATAAGGGACTGCGCTTACGTCTATGATAAACCGAATCAAATATATTTATTATTATTGTTTGTTGTTTTACACGATCGGGAAAGCACATCTGTAGTCGACGAGTTGTTATGTAATTTTTTTTTTTTTTTTTTTTTTTTCATGTATACCTATTTTATTACTATTATTATTGTAACCGAAGGTAACGCGCGATCAACCCGATTGTCTAATTTTATTATTATTTTATTTATATGTGTATTATTTGTTCGCACTTTATAATATTATGTACGGTGAATAAAACCGATTTTTAAAAGTATTATCGTAGTATTCGTATTCATGTTATGATATTGTATTATAATATCCTGAAATCATAGATATACGAAACAGTCGTAGTTAACCGACTGTGCGATTGAGTTCCATAAGATATTAAACGTGAATAGTTTAGCGGAAGTCAGCTATAAGCGGCCAATTGTATTGATTGATCCGTGAAATATTTGTTTATGCCACGAATTATGTAATTACATATCACGATTAGACTATTTACTCGTGTTGCCCGGGGTCTTCGAAAATAAGGTCGTCACAATATTTCCGCTCAGTAAGGCGAGACCGTCACCATTCGCAGCCGTTGGAGCGCTGCCAGATGGATCTATTTAACGTTAGAAAGTTAAGGAGGATAAACGGGAAAACCTCTGAAAATGTTGAAATTCATAGGTGATTGTAATACTTGTAAGCCGGTTTTCGTAAAGCCGCGGTGTTACAAACAAACTTACGCGCAATGTTATTTCGAACAAATCTGTGCTACATTAGTCAATGCCGAAACCGAAACGCGACTGATGCACACGGATATTTTCTTTTTGGATTTCAATATGCATATCATATGTATATTGAATCGTCAAACTCTCCCTACACCATACCGGGCAGGGGCGGAGTATACACGACGTTCGGTTGTAATATCATAGACACATAATATGAATGGTTCGTGCTGGTGTTAGGTGTAGATATGTATGAACATATTTTTCCTCACGACACATTAAATTATAATATTGTACAAAGGTGTCCAGAGCAGTCGATTTAAATACACAATATATTATGTCAACGAGTTAATATAGGCGCCAAAAAACGATTATCTATAAATAATTCATATTTCCAATCGCGAGACCGAGGGGTTTCAAAGCGTGTACTGTCGAACGGCCGCGATAGTGTACCGTCGGCGAGACACGAGACTATCGGGAGCAGTCCCCGAAAAATGAAACAAAGTGTACCCGCATAACGGCGACGGCGAAATCGTCGAAATTGTTTTTATTATTACTGTAGCTTTCCCGGTAAACCGTTAAAAGAATATCCTCGGGATTATTAATACGTATATAACTTTAAACCGAACGGATTTTCCCCGTTATTAACAAAAGTACAAAGAATATCAAAAAATGCACCGGCTCAATGCACTGACCAAATCGATTTTGCCACCAGAACCACCCCGGAAGTTGATGTCTTTTTAAATTTTTTATAATTGAATACGACACAATTTCGGCGTAAATAAACATTTATAATAAAAACAAAATAAAACAAATAACTAAATAACCAAAAAAATGTATAACACGGTAAAACAAACAAACACAAATTATAGTAAGTATACAAATAGTTTATAGCTAGAAGTTCGAGGCAGGGTAAATCAATGATATTTTTCAACACAGTCGAGTTAATATATATATATATATATATATATTTTTGTAGATTGAGTTGGAATAAACGGTTTAATATGTCAAGTTGTAATGTAAAAAAAAATTTATAATTAAGTATCAAAAATTAAAATGCTTAACTAAAGTAAATACGAATATGGAATATTACCCGCGTATGTATTTTAAAATCTGTGAGGTTGTGGCATTTATAAAACTCTAACCATAATTCAGACTCAGGGGTCACTGAAATTTAAAACTAGACACTGTGGCATTTTCAATGCCTCCATAAAATTTGGTTCCAGGGCATGTGTCTAGTGTCTACAATGTGACGGAATGTTTGTACCTGACCACATTATTTATATTACGATGACTCCAACATACCCCATTTGAATAGCCACATGAGTCTTGCTCAAGCCTCACTGTATTAAAAGGGTTGTTCAGAGTCTTCTTGGAATTGAAATCCGGAGATTTAGATTTCTGGATTTGTTTTGAATTGCCATTTAAAAACTTCACCATAGTAAAACTATTATCCGAGTCGATAAACCTATAAATATGGACCGATAATGTCGTAATTCCTTACATTGGATACCGAATGGTGATATCTCAAGAGTATGTAAGTATTTTACGCGTTCAACAATTACTTGTCCAAAGGATTTATTGCCAGATGAAACTTTTCGTTTACTTATTTGATAGCGGGGCTGGCGTCCAAAGTGTTTTTCGAGGCAACAAAATACAAATCAGTTTTTACCTGCGTATAACCGGTACAGCCATTCGAAATTCAAAGAAAAAGCTATGACACCGTGAAACTTGTATAATAGCTTTCTGTTTTCCTCTCCGTTTAAAACCTATAAAATACTGTCAAAATAAAAGTCATAAATACTCGATTACGGCGCCTCGGTTACAAACGGGGTTACTCGAGTATAGTTTACGCGGTCGCATCCGAATTGGTCCCTACACAAAAAAATTGTCATATAAATTGGTTTCCGGTATTCAATAGGCGTCACACATCTGAATTGGTTCCTGATAAAGACGATAATGCGATCTAGTAATGTTATTTATCATTAATATAACATATTTTCCTATATCATATAATCATCTGCTGTTGTATATTATTATGTTATACATTGTCGTTACCCGTTACTGAATTCAGTAACCGACCAATAACCGTTGAGTATATGCAATAAGTAGCGTTTGCATTTTGCGTAATATAATTTATTATATATTATGATAAATTGCATTAATCTTATGTATATATTATTGTGTTACCGGCAAGGTATAGGAATTCGGGCGTCGTGCACAGTGCGCTGGATAAACACCTCTTTGCATATCGTGAATTCGTCATCTGATTACGGAGTGCGTGACGTCAAAACAGTAATCATTCGAATGTATCGAATAGGAGAAAAATATCAAATAAAATTAATAATAATGCGATTAAATAGATAGTGTATTATCAGTTTACGGAATGTTCACCGCCGCGTTCACCAGTGTTCCAATGCACGTTTATTTATTTGTAAGATAAATAGGTATTTCGTACGTCGTGTATCAAACTAATATAAAATATATAAATATAGGTAACTTTTACGTATACAAATGTGCCCACTTGATTCTGGACGGGGTATATTTTGACCTGACACTCTCGTACAAAGTTAAGTCAGGACAATGTAGGCAAAATTGGTGTGTTAAAAAAAATTCCATACGTTGCCTAAAGTGTTCGGGCACTGTGCACAGTGCCCAGGCATTTTGATCAGAAATGGATTCACACAATTGCCGCCTCATGGAAAATTTTATTCTACCACCACAT